TGAGTTCTCGCTGGTTTTGGAGGTGTTTCCCAGACACGCTCCTCTGGGTCGGCATCCATCTCCATTGTGGCAAGTCTCTCGCAGCGTTCCTGAAGGCCATCGGTTTCACTCCCCCGCTTATGGATGGCCGAGACATTGGACAGTTTAAAAGAAAAATTGGAACTGGCAAGAACTTGGCAATTAGAAGGCGGGTTCGTGGCCGCTGAAGGCGAGCCCGAGCTCGAGCAGCGAGCAGCGAGTGGCGGACGGCCGGCCGACCCGGCGGTTCATGTGCCCGGAAGCTCCGACGTTGATGTCGCCTTGGCTTGACCCAGGGTCTGACCCCAAGGGGTCTGACCTGGGTCAAGGAGGGGTCTGACCCGGGTCTGACCCAGCCGAGCACATGTCTGGCTCTGTGGGTACGTCATCCGAACCCAGTGTATCAGACTGCCTTCTCCACAGCACACAGCCGTCCGGATCCCATTGGACCGCACTGGGCGAACGGGCACTTCAATCTGCAGGCCTTAGATCGACATGTTGATCTCTGGGGGACTTGTGGGATTCTATACAGGACGTGACTAAGAATCTATCCAAACGACAATGCGATTCCAGCCCAACCCTCTACAAACCCTCTATAGGTGCACTCAATATCTGCGGATTTAGCGAATATCTCGCATCCAATCCGTTCCTTTCCGCAGTTGGGGAATTGAACGCCTTCCTCTGTAACTCTGTGCAGTGCCAGGTGTGCCGCGCGACGTGGGTATGATGAAGAGGTTTGCGTGTTTGCGGCGGTTGGGTACACCCGAAAGGAAGACGCAGGTCGACGCAGCCTTCTTGGATCTAAGCGGGGTCGAGAGACCGCGGGCTTGAGGATACGAGAGGTCGTGGGTTTCCATCTTCACCTCTTATCTTCCCCGATGGCCATGTCCAGCCCGCAACTAGGGCAGACTGGTCTCGGGAAATCCGGCTGGAAATCGGAGAGACGATGACTGGAAGACTCGGATGTCAAGTCCCATGGTCTCTTTTGGCTCGTCACCGACGATCGTGACGACACTAAGCATGACCTGGGATAAGGAGGAAGACTTCCTTTGTCATCCAATGAGGGCCTTTCGTAGGTCGCAGTAGGTGAGGCGAACTGTATGGTCGTGGAAGTAAAGGCTAGGTCCCGTGAGATTCGATAATCCTTCACGCGGATCATGATCACTAGCGGAGGTATAGCCTATAGCCAGACTCATTAGTGCCTGGGTCGAACTCGAGGCTGACATGATGTACACTGACCTGCAACTGGCCTAACATTGGTAATAGCGCGTTCTGCATCGGGGTGCTTGTTCCACACGCCACAATGGTCAAGAGAGCGACGATCCCATAGGGTAGTGCACTTTCTATGATCATGGTGACGACAGAATCGTACATGTGAGCAACGCGGCTGCTGAAAGTCTGACGCCTATACAGGCACAGTCGGACAATGATCGCGACAGAGAGAACGACGTTGATGGACAGCGACAAGGTCAGATAAGCCAGAGAAGGAATTGTGGTCGTATTGGTCCATAGGTTGTCCACAAGTTGGCTGATGTTGGGAACGCAGAGGGATCCGACGACTAGGGAATGCGTCATAAAGCTTGAGCAGGTCAAGAAATTCGCGAAGACATACCGATCAGAGAAACCAACATCGCGGCACTCATGAGATTCGCCCATATCGAGGACGAGAAGATGCAGCAAAAGCGATACAGCTGAAAGAGTGCTCAATTAGATGAAAGACGACACGTTACGTGTGGATACGTACCAGCATGCCATCCGCACACCAATTGAGGACCACGTAACTGAAACTTGTGTCAGCTACGAAGTGTCGCATATATGTGCGAGTGCTTACATTGCTACCGTAGCGAGACTTGGGGCATCCCTCGAAGTAGACAGAATGTACGTGTATGGGCCCCCATCAGCATTTCGGTGGATGATGAACGCTCTGTGGTTGAGCCAAGTCTGGAGGCAATACCCGACGGTTGCAAGCAGGAAGAGTACAGTGGCATATGCCAACAAGCCCAAGTGCGGCGTAGGCGGGATCCCACCCATTCTGGAGGGATAAGGAAAGAAGTGGAGTCGCACAAGCCATATAAAGAGGACGAATTGAGTCCCTGCGTCAGGAGATTGAAAGTGAGTCGCGCCAAACAGGTGAACTCCGGGGTTCATACCGTAGGTAAAATTGGCCAGAATTGTCCCAACCATATTTGCAGTTTCGAGTGGGACCTGATCGAGGTTTTGTTCACCGGAAACGGTTGGTGGCATTGTCTGCAGGTCGTGGTGTGAAAAAGGCAGCGCTGAAGAGGTGATATTGCCGGGCTCATGCACTAGGGCTGTCCCCGCATTTATACGAGGCGAACACAATCACTCACTGCTCGACGTCGGCGGATGACCATCCAGATACTCTGTTATCTCGTTTCACGTCATCCCCTATTTCCACCATACCCTTTCACAGGTACATATGCCCTCGCTGCTGGAAACACCATACGGGGCGGGAAAGGTGAGCCCCTTGTGGTAACTGAAGGAGGGGTTGCGGATTCGACACGCTGGCGGAGCTGTAAATGAAACCTTAAACGACGCTCATCGGACTTCCTGTGGTACAATGAGTCCAGGTTGCGTCGTTCCGGAAGGACGAAAGAGATGTACTACACTTACTGGGACTATCGCTAACTGGGCGGCGTAGCGCCCACATATTTGGATCCAGAAGTTGCATCAGACCTACCAAATTGATCATTGGCGGTAACAAGTACTCATCAGAGCTGTCCTGTTGAGGAAAGGCCACCAAATTGTCAGATAGCGCCGCCTATGCCTGTAGTTCTTCAGCCTTGCTGCATGCTAGCACAGTATGCCTGCTGTCATGTTAACTTCGTGACATTGCCTAACCTTCGCCATATTTGCGAAAATGCCCATACGCTCTCCTCATCCCGCGGAGAAATAGCACTATCACGTCCTAGTTCTATCGATAGCGTCTTGCACGCGTTCAAGCCACATATGCAAGATATCCAGCTGCAAGGCGGCGTCATGATCATGCTCCTGCTCCGTATCCTGTTCTAATTCTAGTACGAGCGCTAGATCAGAAAACCGCCTAGAGCGATTTTCAGGGAATGACTTGCCTTTTTCCCAGTCCATAAGCCGCTTGCGCAGCGGCCGCAGCAGCGAGCTTTCCACGTTGTTCAGCGAGTCAGCATCACGCACGCCACTCTATCCGGGGGGTCAGCACAGCTGAGAATGGTGGCTTCCACGAATATGCTGGAGCGCACCAGGTTTTGCACGTCCCTGAGCAGAAGCACGTAGTAGAACCCGAGGCATTCGACGAGCCGCAGCGCCTCTGGGCTTTCCAAGAAGTCGTCTAGAAGGACTGAGTCAAAGAGGTCTGGAGGCTGCGGTCTCAGGACCAAGGGGCCAAAGGCTGTAAAGAGGTGCGGGGAAGCGAAGATGTTCTTATCGCTGCTAGTAAGCCCCTCAAGGACCGCTTCCTTCAGTAACCCAACCGTAGCAACGCGCATCTGTGCGGGTAGATCTACGTCGCTCAGGAGGTCCTGGAGGAAGCGGGAGCGTAGAGGGGATGGTGACAATCCGAGGACAAGTGAGATGGCCCGGAACGTGTAGTGCCTGATATCTGGATCCTGGTGATTGCTGGCAACGTGGGGAAGTAGGTGTATAAGAGGGGCTGTGAGATCCGCGTTGAGCTCTGGGCGAGGAACCGCGGCGCGCAAACGCGCCAATGACGATATGAGAATGTAGAGGACTTCGTCAAGGGAAAAATTTGACTGGATGCAGAAGATGATGGTGGGGTAGAAGGTAGTCAAGGTAGACATCGAAAAGGTATAAGAGGGATCGTGTGCCAGAAGGACAAGAGAAGCTAGACTAGGGTGCGATTCATACTTGCTTGTTGTGGCTCCTAACGCATGGAGAGCCCGCTGACAGGATGTGAGCCAGACCACACAACTGATGTTCGGGTGCCACTTACCCAAGTACTCGTAAGGACATCCTGTGATCCCGACTCAGAAGACGCCTCGGATTGAGGTACTACCAATCTGGAGAAGTGGATCATAAAAGCCTTCCGCGCAAGGTTGCCATAGGTGGCGTTCGCGAATGTCTCGATAGCGTCCTGTATGAGAGATTGCAGCGATATCTAAACTATAACGGTGAGCACATGTCGAGGGAACTTGTGGACATGTATCGTATATTATCACCTTGGTTTTCTCGTCGGCACCATTCGACAAAGCCAGCGCGAACTCAGAGATGGCGACCACAAGCGTGCGGCCTTCGTGAGGTGTGGCCGACTGACCGGCGAATTGAATAGCCTGATTCAACTCAGACAACCGTGATGCTAATGTTTCCTCAGGAGACTTCTTCCATTTAGGGAGTCGAGGAATGGCTGAAGGCTCGTGAGCTACTGACTGCGTGCGAGTGGCGGAGATAATCCTACCGACGGCATAGGCTCTGATGAGGCGCGCAAGTTGGAGCGCTGTGGACGTTCGCGGCGCCGTTCTACCGTGCTCTTCGTCCTCGCCTGTCTGCATGGCTCGGTCAAGGCTTTCCACGACTTCCTCCACCGCCATGACGACTTCCTTGGCGCTACAGTCCTGGGACATGAGGCCAATGAGGTCGTCCGCACTACTCTCGGGGCTTGAGACCACAAGTGGAATGATAGTAAGGGGTTCCTAGGCAAGTCCGGCATGAGACGACCCGGGTCTAAGGACCTGGCTAAAATTGTAGACTCACAAGCGAAGACGCGCACCCACTCTGTTTCACGGCATCGACAATGCTAGCAAGGTTATGCTTAGGTTGTTCGTCGTGCACTGCGGTGGTTATGAGGCTAGTCAGCGCGATTCCCGGATCCTATTATGCTGTTTCAATCAATGCAAACCCCGCTGAGTCCGTCTGTCCAAGGATCGCATTCGACCTACCTCATCGACCTCATCGTGCTGAAGGGAAAGGATATCATACAACGTTCTCCCTGAAGCCATGATCGCAAACAAGATGTAAATCAAGGCTACGAAGGAATCCCTTCGCCGGTTTCTGATGGTTCCGGAATGAAGCGATCGCCGTGGCGGTTAGCAGAAGAGTTGGGAGGCAATAGACGCCCAGATACACGCGTTCATGTGCTGGGAGCGACTGTCAGAAGAACACCAGATTCTGGACATTTTTAAATCTCCATGCAGTACACTCAGTCCAAGACTTCGACGTTATCCGGTGTCAACCTGCTCCAGCACTCCTCCACCATCTTACAACTCCATCCTCTCCACCAGTTACATATGCGCCTGCTGTGCCGTGGGCGGGCGGCTTTGGTCTCCACGAAACGGACCACACCTCACCCTGCTCCTGCACAGTGGAGACTGCCGCTCTTGCGCCGATGTCCCAGACTTTTGTGGTCTTGTCCGCGGAGCCAGACACGGCAAGCTTGTTATCAGGAGAGATGTCCGTGCTGAGGACCCAAGAAGAATGACCACTGAGCGTAGCGACGGCTCCGGAACCAGGCTTGCCAGAAGACGATACGCGAACGTCGTGCAGAATTAGGCGTTTGTCTTCCGACGCAGAGAGGAGCAGCTGTTTGCGGAGTACGACGGTGAGACGAACGTGCGTAACTTCAGCAGGATACATGCGTACAGTTGAGTCTGCCGACCAGGCAAAAGACCGGACGGCCATAGCATGCGAGCTGTATGCAGCTTGGATTGAACTCGATGCGACGTCGAACACGAATATCTGTCCTGCTTCGGAGGACATGGCTACTCGCGACCCATCTGGGCTCTACAATGCACACAGTGAGCCTTTGAGCCTTGGCACTGAGAGGGGCGCGGGAAAGAACGCGGTGGGCAGACACCAACTCAAGTCAGCCAATGACCCACATATTTGCAGTGCATTCCAAACTTGCTGCGTCCACTTGTGAGCGTCGCACGTCGTTCTCCAAACGATCCAGGTTCTGCGGAGTGGATGGTGACATTTCCGGAACCGCCTGTGGAGGCATACGTTCCGCCTCGTGGGTTCAATGACACGGACCATGCTATATGCGCAGGGATAGTTGGCAGGACGGGAGAACAATGTGACATTCCAGTTATATGTAGCGAAGGAACAGCGCGCTTGGTATGAGGACGGACGGATGCGTCAGGAAGATGTTTCACGTACATGGCTCTGTCGTCTCCGCTCCTGGACCCCTGGCATAGCTCTCGAACGATCCCTTCAGTTCCCCATCCTCAAGATCCCATAAGCACGTTAGACCTTCAAGCGTGTTGTACAGGGCGAGCTTTCCGGTTGGGTCCACGCTGAGCGAGACGAGGCCGAGAGTGTGGGGTGGCCGTGAACGCGAGACTTGGCCAGAGATCGAGTCCCATTGCTTGATTACACCATCGGCGGAGATGCTCAGTACAGTGTCCGCGTTTGTCCAGTTCACAGCCCAAACTGCGTCCGAGTGCGCTGCAGCGGTAGTGTGTGAGTATGTATACCAGAAATTGAAGACGCGACGAGACGTACGTTCTGCACCATCATGCGCGTGGAGAAAAGCAAGACTCTAGATGACCCTCGTTGAAGCATAGAGACATACGCAGAGGTTCCCATACGTACCATGGAAGTTACTGTGCGATAGACTAGCTATAGTGAGGGCTACAGAGAAATGGATAGCTATAGCAAACGGATACTTCGGAGGTCAAGGCTCTCGTCGCCATTACGCGCCCAGTGCAGCCGTAGACGCCCATGATGGTCCGAGTCCGGACTGGTTCAGTCACTAAACTTCGGTGTATCCTCAACTTGAGCTCGAGCCCCAAAGAACTACGATGCAAAAGAAGGTGAATATCCTTACCATGCCACGATCTCGAGTTGATGCTGAATCCTGTATGCAAAGCGCATTGGGCGGGCGGAGCAGCCGCCTACCAGCCAAGAGGCAAACCCCGATGAGGTGGTCAAGATTCGCCAACGCCTTGCCTTCCTCTGTCATGATCTGTGTATTTTCGGTGCTAATCCAGAAGCCATGGAACGCTTGAACCTCTCCCTCTATCCTCACTTCCTTGGCCCGCCCTATCTCTCCGAAGAAGAAGCTGCATTCGCTCTCTCTAGCGAGATCCGCACGCTGCGCAATGTAGGGCCCCCACCATCCCTTGATGCAAATGCGCGTGACCAGCATTCTCAATCGCTGGCAGTCTTTCTGGAGGGAGGCATGGCCGCGATCATGGCCGCACGGGAGGCTAAACACAACCACGAGACAATCCGGGAACGAGATTTCGTGCTGTGCACATCGCACGACCTTGCGCCACTGTTACAGGACGCTTGTGCGTTCCCGAAGCAGCATTTCGAGACCCGTGCATTCAAGGACGCGTATAAGCAATGGGAGAAGGGGCTTCGCAAGGCAAATAAGAAGGGGAAGGGAGCGGCTTGACGACTGCACACGCTGCGATTGCTGTTGGCCTTGGTCTGGTATTCCCAGACGAAGCGACATGTCGATATTCGTGCTCCGCGTATCAATGCTTCCCTCTTGACTATGGCTGTGAATACCTGACGAACGAGTGTCCAGGTTCAATTTGGGTTGGCAGATACAACGAATGTGACGATCTTGTGGCTAGCCCTTTGTCGGTATGCGGTGATATTATCACCAGTGCGATAGCGTTCTGAGTCGCTCATGATGATAATGGGGAGGCAAAACTGGGTGGGGCAGGCAAGCAGTATGGGATGCTCACCATATCGCAGCCTCGCTGAAGCCGGGAGAACGATTCTGTTCTAAGTAACATCGGTACCAAACAAAAGCCATTGGTTGGCGACGTCTCACGCGTCTCTGCGTACAGCTGGTGCCTCCCGTCTACAACATATGTCTGCAGAGTAGGTTCTTCCGTTACAAGCGCGAGCTGACGTAGATCCAATAACTGATCGTCCGTGTCAATATCAACAGCATCGTGTCCTCTATTGTGTGATTTTCGTCCATCGTCGCGGCGTCAATCCAATTTGACGGAGCATTGTAGTAGGATTCGACCAGATCGTCAATTTGCCTGAGGCCTTACTCCCAGCTTTCGTTCAAGTGGTTGCGCTGGCTAACTCGCACATCGATATCAATGCTGGTCACCTTAAGTGGTCTTCCTTCAGGACCGCCATCAACTCCCATGAACATACCACTATCGCATCCTATAGGATGCGGACGATGACCATCACGACCGAGGACTCGATAGAGGATCTCGCCTCCAAGGTCACCAAGCACACTGCCGACTTCGTGAAAAACGCCATAAGAAGAGAGGAGCTCGCCGAACACATCAGGACTATGTTCATCCAGCCTGACATGACGATTCTCAATGGCGCCCTCCGCACAAGAGGAATACCAAGGACGAGAGCAGAAGCTTTCAGACGACGGGCTGGGAGTACCGGCTGATCTGCGCGTTCCCCAACAAATATTCTCCAAACTACTTCTACTTCCATGTTACAACGACAGAGTGAGTAGACCCTTGCCTAACTGTCTCTCGTCGCTTAGCTATCGACCCCAACGATTCCACAGGCACACGGCGGAGACGCAGAGGAAAGGCGAAATCAGCAAACACTATCACTGTGCAGACGTCACTACAATGCAGCTGACCGTTCACCAGGACTTTAGCTGTGGGGAGCAGGTTCGATCACGTCCAAGGACATCTTGAGACTGAAGTGTGTGTGAGGTATCGAACAATAAAGGTTGTATGCTGTTGTATGCACCGATTATAGTCGACTTAGGACTGGGGCAAGACAACGGAAATTGACAACGCGTAGGAGAATAGCTTTCGTGGCAGTCTGCTTCATAGAATTGGGAGTGTCGGAACTCCTATGTGCACTAGTACTGCAACGCCTGGCTCAGGCCTGGAGTCGAGCTAAGTACGGAGGCTGGTAGATACTATATAAGCGCTATGGGATCCTGTCACCGGAAACGGCCGGCGGAGTTCCAACCCTGGTCATATACGCGTTCTTGTGCGAACCTTATTTTTCCCCTCCATCCACGAAAGCGGAAGAAGACATCACCCCCTTCCTGTGTCCCTAAAACAAAAGTGAGCCCTCCACGTCGTGTTGCGTTTGTTACATATGACTTACAAGTACATAGGATGTCTGACGCTGGTGATGAAATTAAAGTCGAAGCCCCCGAGGTCGAGGTTGCGGCCGAGGCTCCCAAGGGCAAGCTCTCCGTAGAGGATGCGCTTCAGGTTCGTCCCCTCAACTCTACATGCGATGTACCCATCTGGGTATTCATACTTTCCCCTGTGCCAAACAGCAAGTCCTGAAGAACGCCCTCGTCCACGACGGTCTGGCTCGCGGTCTCCGTGAGGCCGCGAAGGCGCTTGACAAGCGCCAGGCGCACTTGTGCGTCCTCGTCGAGACGTGCACTGAGGCCGAATACATCAAGCTCATCGAGGCCCTCTGCGCGGAGCACAAGATCAACCTGATCAAGGTTGGTGACGCGAAGGTGCTCGGCACGTGGGCTGGTCTCTGCAAGATCGACCGTGAGGGCAACCCGCGCAAGGTCGTCGGCTGCTCGTGCGTCGTGGTCAAGGACTACGGTGTTGAGTCCGAGGGCCTCCACGTCCTCCTCGACTACTTCAAGAACCGTTAAGTGAGTGCCTGGTTCTCTACTTCAATTCTGAGATGACAGAACAGACTCCCTCGACGGAGAGCATCTGTGAGGATAACTGTCTATCCGGAATCATCATACGCATGTCTGAGCTTACTCGTTCAGTGATGTTATTGATAAGCGAATGCTGATGCTGTCCTCTCGCAGATTATGTTCGGTTCCTCTGTAGCTGTAGTTAGTCGTAGTCGTATTGCTTCTTTCCATTGCTATGATGTTGTACGACTTCAGTCTTCGTGGAAGTGTGACGGAGAGATGCCCTCCGAGGATATCTTAGTCTCGAAGAGAAGATATGCACAAGATTCCTCGGAAACCAGACTACAATGGATGTACAAGAGTACGAGCACGTCTCGGACCTCCTGCGAAAGTATATATAATGCTGCAACCAATCACGAGGCCGGTGTGGTTCGAGCGGTAGAACGGGCCGAGGAAGCGCCTGGGGTGATGCGGGGAAAAACACATGCTTGTGGAATGATCGAGTGACGACAACGCTCAGCTCGAACTCACGTCTCTTGTTCCCGTTCCTCTGCTTTACCTCTTGTGTTGCTCGTCGATGGTCACGTCGAGCTAGATGTCCGACCACAACAGCATTCATTGACCCCGCACAACCGTAACATAGAACCACCTCTTGCCGACCATGGTCATCCAACTGCCTAACGCGGCTGTACTCAGCAGCCTTAGCCCAAACGCGCGACGGTCTTCACTTGTCGCCCTGTTCACCTTCCTACTCATCCGTAGCAGGCTCGTAGACATACCTAAGGCAGCGGTTTCTAAGCTCAAGACCGCCGCCTCTCGCCAGGACGTATCCCAGGAGGAGCTTGCACAGGCCCTGCAGCAGGTCTACATCGACGAGCCTGATGGCAGCAAGACTATTCTTGTTCCTCACAAGGGATACATCTCTAAGGTCCGTCTCCTCCTCTCACCCATTACTGCGCCATCCGATCTCTGTGGCAGGTCACGATTTCCCCCACCCCACCATCCGTGATCGCGGAGAACGGCAAACGATTTTCTCTCATCCCCGCATCCCACAAGCCGAATGTCGATAAGACCTTCCTTCGGCAATTGTTCGCTATCCTTAAGATAGCGTTCCCCTCATGGCACTCCAAGGAGGCCTTGCTTCTTGTCATGCACTCTTCTTTTCTCGTCCTGCGTACCGTCCTCAGTATCGCCGTCGCGCGGTTAGACGGGCGCATCGTGCGCGACCTAGTCAGTGCCGATGGGAAGGGTTTCGCGAAGGGGATCGGACTCTGGTTCCTGCTTGCAATCCCGAGTACATACACGAACTCGATGGTAGGCTCTACTGCATTCAGTCCATCGCATGCGCTCAACCTGTCCCAAGATCCGGCACCTCCAAGCGAAGCTGTCATTGCGAATGAGAACGCGACTAACGCGGTACACCCATGACCTCTATCTCTCGTCCGCACCCGATTTGCGGTACTACAGAGTTGCGATAGAAGGCGGTCTTGCGGACGTCGATCAGTACATAACTTCCGACATTGCGTCGTTTTGTAATGCGCTCGCAGGAATTTAGTAAGTATCGTCAAAGCCCATGGTCATCATCCTGTACTGACCGCGAGCGCGTAGTGGAAATGTGCTGAAGCCGTCATTGGACCTCGTGCTCTTCACGTCTCAGCTTGCCCGGTCATTAGGATTCCGCGGCACGGTGATGTTGTTCGTGAACTACTACGTTACTGCGAAGATCTTGCGCTCTGTCACGCCCGCCTTTGGTCGCTTAGCTGCCGTCGAGGCACGACTTGAGGGCGAGTACAGAGCAGGTATGGGCCGAATAGGGCGGGAGAGCGAGGAGATCGCGTAAGTCCCAGCCTACCGCCCGACTCGCCTCGCGCTCACATACTCCTTCAGTTTCTACGGCGGTGGATTGCGAGAGCGGAGTATCCTGGGCAGAGCGTATATGCGTTTGATCAAGCATGTCAACTCAATATACAAGGTATGATTTGCGTTAGGGGGCTTCGTGGCACAGGTTGACGAACGCCGATATAGATCAGGGTAGCATATGAGTGGACAGAGGATTTCCTGATCAAGTACGCCTGGAGTGCCGCAGGCTACTGCCTCATCTCTATCCCCGTCTTCGTCACCCGAGTCCGGAACGTTGGCGTGCAGACACAGGGTCCTCGCCCGCATGAGAAATCTGATAACGAAGTCGCAAATCGGACAGAGAGTGAGACACTGCCTCTTGCGATCAAGCGACTGATCCATTGACATGCGTCTTCTTATAGCATACATCTCCTCCCGCCGCTTGCTTCTCTCCCTGGCCGACGCAGGCGGTCGGCTCATGTACGTCCAAAAGGACCTACTGGAGCTCGCCGGTCTTACCACTCGCCTGTACACTCTCCTCTCCACCCTTCACAACCTTCCCCATCCCCCACTTCCCGACGACCCCTCACAGGCGAATATCGTCCTCCGAAACGTCGACGTCGGCATCCCCACCGCCGCCCCGCAGTTGATTGCCGCCTCCGAGTCTGAGTCGACGGAAGACATCTCGCTCACCGAGAGCAAGGCGCACGCGACGACGGTCCTCGTGAAGGGCCTGTCGTTCGAGCTACAGCCTGGAGAACACCTGATGATCACGGGCAGTAACGGGGTGGGTAAGACCGCCGTAGCGCGCGTGCTCGCGGGCTTGTGGGCCGCACAGGGCGGTGGGGACGTGAAGAGGCCGGTAGGAAAGAAAGGGGTGTTCATCGTGCCGCAAAGGGCGTATATGGTAACAGGGTCGTTGCTTGATCAGTGAGTGGTTTTGTTATATCTCGTGCTACCACGCTATGGCTAATTACTCTGCTAGGGTTATCTATCCGGACTCATATCCCGACTTCGTGGCGTCTGGACGAACGCACGAGGAGCTGATGGAGATTCTGACCGCCGTCAACCTGGCCTATCTTCCGTCCAGAGAAGGCGGCTGGTCGACCCGTAAGGAGTGGAGGGACGTGCTGAGCGGCGGCGAAAAGCAGCGAGTGAGTCTGTCCCGCTTGTCGTGCGGACGCGTCACTTGAACTGAGTTCTTGAATCGTAGATGGGCATGGCCCGGGTGTTCTACCACCGGCCAAAGTTCGCTATTCTCGATGGTGAGTCGGGAGACGCACGACTGCGGCATAGAGAGGCTGATGGATACTTGCTTGCCTTGTAGAGTGCACCAGCGCTGTATCCAGCGACGTCGAAGGCCGCATGTACGAACACGCGAAGTCATTGGGCATCACCCTCATCACCATCTCGCTGCGGTAAGCTCTTCTGCTCGTCCACTCACGCCGGTGGAGCTCACCTGCATCTTGCGTCGTGCAGTCCTACGCTCATGCGTTACCACACGCAGCTGCTCACCGTCGCCGGAGACGGCACGGGCAGGTGGGCGCTCAAGCGGATCGGGACGGCCGAAGAGCGCATGGACCTGGATCGCGAGATCGTCTCCCTCGAGGACAAGCTCGCCGAAGTCGAGAAGTGGGAGAAGCGCGTCAAGGAGCTCGAGCGGTTGCTGAGCGTTCAGGAGATCTAGGTGCTCTTGCCGCCAGGCGGCGGAATGCAGGTGTAAATGTTGATGTTTATGGATTCCCTTCCACACGGAATCGTACTGGGCATCGAATTGTAGAGTTCCGGGAAACAAGGACGGTTCCCCAACGACGCGGGATTGCCTAGGTGATCATGCGCTCGACCGACGCCCAACTCACACCGAGCCCGACTGAAGGTAGGCTTGTCGATGGGCAGGCTAGCGTTGTAGGAGGGGTACCCCGAGCATCCCTCGTAAGACACGCGCGGCGAATGGGATGGGGTCGGAATGAGCCCCCTCATGATCGGCGAAGGATAGAATGGATGAAAATGGCGAACTGAGCCCGCAGCCACCGTCGGTGGGCAGTAGCATCGTGTAACGATGATCTTGTTTGCCTTTCTTGGTCAGAGCAGCAGTCTCGCGTGTTTGGTATGTACCAGCTACTTCGTATACGCTCAGATAGAACGATAGCAACGATATGACGGCCCCTTCGGCCGCCTCTCGACTCCCGTGCCCCATTCGCCCGCGCCCTCGCTTCAAAGCTTCGCGGTAGGCCCGAACGCCGGCGGCTCGGCGCCCTCCGCGAACGCGAGCACGTCCAGCTTGAAAAAGCGCTCACGCGGGAGCCAGGTCATGACGGAGCGCTTGTACGGGAAGTCGACGAGCCGCTGCGCGCACCAAAAGCACACGCGAAGACACGAAAACCACGAAAAAGAGGGCGTGAGCGGCGCGCGCAGAGAGAGGGGGGGGAAGGAGGATGGAGGGGACGCTCACGGTGTGCACGTTCATCCCGACGGCCTCGGAGACTTTGATGACCGCGGCGTTGGCCGCCTTGGGCTCGCCGACGTTGCGGAGGGTGCGAGGGTCGGAGAGGAAGAGGTAGTGTTGGACGCCTGCCAGCCAGGCGGTCGCTGGTGGCCGCACGACGGGGGCAGTCGGGGTTGACGGAGGGGGCAGAGTGGAAGGAGCAGCGGTCAGCATTTGTGATTAGGCATACCGATCGATAGGGACAGAGCTGGCTTACTCCTGTGATACCCGCGGAACTTTTCTTCGCCGACGAGAATGTGGAGGCCGCGGTCGTAGTCCCAAGCACCGCCGGGGACGTACGGCGCCACATGGTTTTCCTAACGGAGAGGAGCGACGTGAGCACGCCGAGCTGCTGCGACAGCGCGAGCACATACACGCGCACCCACGACACAACACACCCGGTGCAGAAGCACAGGAGAAACGCGCCCGGCTCACCTTCACGTAAGGGAACTCGGCGTAGCCCATGAGCTCGCCGTCCCAGCTCATCATGACGGGCACAACGCCCGGGTCGGCGAGCAAGGCCTGCATGTACGCGCGGTGCTTCTCGAGCGGGCCGCGTTCGCCCCAGCCGCGGTTGACGTGGTCGCTGTTGTGCCAGCGGTGGAACGTGGCGAGGTGGCGCGAGACCCCACTTGCGTCCTTACCCACGGTGTCGCCGGCTAGGTCAAAGTACGCAAAGTCGAGCGTCTGGCCGACGGACGGGAAGTGCTTGCGGTAGACGACCTCGCCCGGGCGCGGCTTGGGGGGGCGCAGCGGGTGCGCGGCGATGACGAGGTCGGTGCGGGTGAAGGACGGCGCGTAGGGGAAGGGGGCGGCGGCGAGGAGGGCGGCGTGCCCGCGGAGCCAGCCGCCGCGGGGGTGGAAGATGGGGGAGGTGCCGGCGCCCTGCCAGAAGGTCTCGCGGAGGAGGAAGAGCTCGGGCTCGGCCTGGGCCTGGGCTCGGGCGGGGGCGTCGCCGGGGCGGGTGTGGCGCTTGCGGGCGAGGCCGGAGAAGAGGAGGTAGTGGGCGAGCTCGGGGGCGTTGTGGAGGGCCGGGGAGAGGACGACGGGGATGGTTTCCTGGAGGTGGTAGAGGGTGTGGAGGACGTTCAGGACGCCCCAGAGGTCTGCGGGGGTAATCGTCGCAGGAGAGCCTTGCTGGACATGGGAGGGGGGCAGGATCTCGAGGACGGGGAACTTGGGGATGTGGTCGGCTTTATTCTCGTAGGGGGTGCCTATAGCGGAAATGACGAGAGCGACGGAGCGAGGAAGCGTGCGGTATGCGGCTGCGATGGTGCGGTCTATGAAGATCTTCGTGGGCTGCGACGGGTCCTGAGAGGCTGATATGTCGACCTTTGCGCCGTCTGGTAGGACGACGATGGGCTTGAGGGTGGGATGTCGTTGCAGCCGACGACTCGCATCCGAGTCGGCCATGGTGCGAAGGAGGGAGCAGCAATACACGGGTACTTATCTGATAAGATTTGGTTGGCATTGAGGCGTGAGATAAGATGATCTAAGGGCCGTGGCGCGTGCCTGTTTCTGCGATCGCTTGATCGAACCGCGGGGGAGGCAGGCGCTGAGAGGGGATGCGGTTAGCGACAAGGCGCACAGCTGCGTGCAGTAGCTGGACAGTAAGTACCAGACGATGGGCCTCGAGTACATATCCACATCCCCTCTCTTTGTCTCAACATTCCCCCCACATCTCTCCCTCCCGCCACGTTGTCTTCCCTTCCTCCCCCGCCGGGCTGCCAGCGCCCTCACAATGATGCTGGAAAACTTGTCCTCTCCGGGGGCGTACGCGATCGTCGTTAGTGACGCGGTCGAGATCGTCTTTTTCGGTATGTCTTTCCTAGCGATCCCGTCATCACAATACACTGATTCGGATACTGCATACCCCAGGCATCTACACGATATTCTTCTCGTTCGCGTTGATCATCCTCGTCACCCTCAAGAGACCCCTTCCGGTCGACCGGGGCATGGTCGTCGCGACTTGCATCGTGTATATCTCCTGTATGAGTGTAAGTCCCGCTTCATATGCTGTCGCGCTGTGTTCGGCGCGTCCGAGCGCGATGTGCCCGTAATTCATGTCGTCCCATTAGCACACCAGCATCCTCACCACAGACAGGCATACCACATTCACGGTGAGTGGCCATATCCATTGTTGCCCATTGACCCCAGCTGCTCACGCACTGCGCGATCTTCTCCCCATCACTCTGCGTCGTTCTCATCTCTGTCATTGCTGCAGAGTGGCCTGCCAATCCCGAGCGGTTCCGAAATGAGCGGGTTGCTACGAACTGTCGATATATCCTTCAAGGCATGTGGCTTCCTCTCGCAGCTCATCATGGTGCGTAGCCTCGGGTTTCCACCTTCCAGCTCTACGTCTCACAATGGAGATATGTTTCATTGTCTCTATGACCTCACTGATATATTACGAATCTCGCTCATATGACATGATAGATTCACCGCTGCTGGGCTGTGTGGGATCATAGATTCGTCGTTGTTGCAGTCCCTCTGGCCCTGGCCTTTGCCAGTATTGGTCAGTCATGCCGCACGCTCCCCACATCACCCACTCGAGCTGACACCAGTCGGTTTCTTCGCACGCGTCATCTGAAACACGTACCGTTCGTGACCTCAACCTGCAAACTCTAACAATTGCGGGCGCAGTCTGTGGTGTGCTCGGGCCACTGCGCATTCCGACGACAGAGTTCAAGTCGCCCTGGGTCGCTCCGCGGATGCCGCTCTATGACATGATCTTTGCAGTGGCATCTCTCGTGGTCTTCATCCTCGTTACGTCACTCCTCGTCTACCGCCTCCGGAGCGTCCTCGCCCCCCTACGAAACGTCAAGTCGATGGAAACGTTGTTCTGGACGCTCGTCGGGGCCTCCATCGAGGCGGGTGCCCTGCTGGTGTTCGCGCAAGCCTCCATTGTCATCCTCTTCATCCTTGGGAGCCCCGCGATAATCATCGCGGAGAGCATCGCGACTCAGATCTACGTATGTCCTCTCTCTCCCGCGCTGCTCGCTCCGGCCCCGCGCCTTTGCCTTTCGAGGGATAGCACGCCGCACGGCGCGCAGCCATCTCCACTCGTGCGTTAGTCCGCGTCCCTGGAACGTCGCGCTGACCTGCAGATTGCGTGTGGGCCTTGCAGGGAATCGCCCCGACGATGATGGTCATCCGCGTCGGCCTGAGCACGGTCCCTCGAGGCGCGCGCTGGGACTCGTCCACGCCGATGTTCAGCTCGCTCATGATGTCGACGATATACGGCTCGGAGGAGTCGGGCGAGCCGAACGGCGCGCCGTGTCTACCGCCCCTCGAGATGCGCCAGCGCCTGCCTTCGCACCAGCCCCCTGCATAGACTGCGCTGGCACTAACGGCTTCCGGTCTCCCCCCTTCTCCGGCGTCGCGTCGCAGCATACCTCTGCCAGGACCTTGCCGCGTGTTGGGAACGCCTGAGGGACCCCTGTCCGGTAGAGGGGAAGAACGCGGTCCCCCTATGGAACCCCCGTCTTCGGCACCATTGGTCGCCTTGTCTTCGCTTCTCGATCCCGACGACCCCGACCTCCGACCCGGAGACTCGGATCTAGATGGATTACCCCCACGAAACACTGGCCTCAGGGACATCGCTGCTGCTGCGTCTGCCGGGAAGCCATATACCCACCCGCGCGGCGCGGGATCGCTACGAGAAGCGGGTTTGATCTAGGACGTACTTCACGCGAACAGCGCGCGCGCAAGAGATCTTGTCTGTGGGTGCGGATGCCGGCATGCGCTGTTCTGCGGCGCGTTCGAGCGCCGCGGGATCCGGCATTGATCTGCGGCTGACAGCGGCTGCGCGGGCGTTCTGCGGATAGATGAAGTGCGTCGTGCAAACAACCTCTCGCTCTCGCAGAATTGGGGGTGACGCTGCAGCCGAGGCGAGGGCCGAGGCACGAGGATGATGACATCGATGCGGATGACGACTCGCTATGACATTGGAGGCTGGAAGGAAGAAAGGAAGACGGAGTGCTTGCTTTCTCCCGGGACACTCATGCATATCGCACAGACTAGCCCACTTCCTTCTGTTGTTGTCGCAGTCGCTACCGACTTCGCGTGTGTCTCTAGCCGCTACCGGTACCTCCGCAACCTCATTGTACTATCAATCCTGTCTGCCACGCAAGTGTTGGTGGCTGCCGCTATCTCCGCAGAGTGGCCTATAGTCGTTGCGGGTTTGGAAGAACGGATGAATGCGGTTTATGGCCGCCGGTTCGATCTGTCTAACGTGCGCAGTGGGCGTCTTGCGTGTCTTGATCAAGTAGTGTGGAACGTTCCTGTCGATATCTGCTGCCAGTGCCTACTACATAAAGTAGACGACGGTGCCTATGGTGCCTTTTCTTTATCACGATCCGTGGTTACCGTTCGTGTATGCGTGAACACTCACGAAGATTGGTTCCGACCGTCGTCTTTCTCGAGACATAACTAATTTGACATCGCAGCATTGACCTCGACGTCGACCGTGACCGTGGATGAATTTGAGCTCGAGCGGTGGCTTGTCCGAAGAAGCGCCCGCCACTTTCGAAATGCAGACTCCATTGAACGTGCTCAACTGTACATGCTTGTATGATCTATCCACTACGCTAAGCTTCGGCGATTGACTTACATATCGCGCTCGCTCGCCGAGTAAATTCCCCCCACCAACACTCAGCAGAGCGGGATGTCAGTATAACCACAGACGTCGCACGGCCGCGAATATCGTCGCAATCGATTCTCAGGATAAACTCGACAGAATGCTGCTCCCGCTCCGAGCACACCATCCTGCTCGGTCGCTGTGCCGTCCGCTTACTAACAAGGCTCGGGACCGACCCAGCGGCCTCCTCTTAAGGTCTCGCGTTCCGTTACGGCTCCCCGTTACTAGTGCCGTCCCTGCTGGTGCACAGAGTAGTATCTACGCCAGACGCTTCGCTACAACCCCGACTGCCAGGATGTCGCTGCCCTCCAAGATCTCTGCGATCGGTATCAACAAGACGGGCGACTTCGACGTCATCGAGAAGCTCGAGCTGCCTTTTCCGCAGAACGCCCCCGGGAACGTCCTCATCAAGGTGGGTCCTCCTGCTGCTCGACTGACGTCCGCCAGGCAGGCGAGATCTATATTTCCTTACGTCTTTGATTCTGTCGATCTGCGCATCTTCGAGCCGGCTTACGTCCCCGACCTACCTGTACATGGATTGATGGATCAAGCTGACCGTACTCCCCGCGTGCGTTGTACGAATAGGTCCAGTACGGAGGTGTCAACTTCATAGACACCTACTTCCGGTAAGAGCACCATCTTCGCATCACACATCGGATACGGGCAGTCTGACTATGATACGTTGCGTTTTTGCAGGAAGGGCCTCTACCCGATCTCCCAGTTCCCCCAAGCATTGGGACGGGAGGCCGCCGGCGAGGTCATCGCCCTCCCCACAGATGAAAGCGTACTCAGCAACGAGGAGTACAAGCTGCGTGGCTTGAAGGTCGGCGCCAGGGTCGCTGCCGTAGGTTCCCCTTCTCGCCTTTCCTCGACGCGATCGTGTACTGAGGCTCATCGCGCCATCTTCAGAACACGCTCGGCGCGTTCTCAGAGTACGTCAGCGTCCCCTGGAACAAGGTGTACGCGCTCCCAGAACACCTCTCGACACGCGTCGCCGCGGCCTCGCTCCTCCAGGGTAGGTGTCCCGCTCTCCTCGATACGCTCTTTCCCCGCATCTGACCATGGTCTGCGCCCAGGCGCGACCGCGCTCACGTTCGTGACGGAGGCGTACAACGTCCAGAAGGGCGACGTCGTCCTCGTGCACACCGTCGCCGGCGGCCTCGGCCTCATCTTCGCCCAGCTGATCAAGGCGCGCGGCGCGACCGTCATCGGCACGACGAGCACCCCCGAGAAGGCGGCGCTCGCGAAGGCCCACGGCGCGGACCACGTCATCCTCTACACCAAGGAGGACCTCGTCCAGCGCGTGCTCGAGCTGACGAACGGCGAGGGCGTGCACGCCATCTTCGATGGTGTCGGGAAAGACACGTACGTGCCCTCGTCATTCTCGTCGACACTTGTCCGCTGACGCGTGCTCTGCGTCGCGCAGCTTCGAGGCGGACCTGAAGGTCATCCGGAGGAAGGGCACGCTCGTCTCCGTCGGAAACGCCTCTGGGGCGGTGCCGCCCTTCCCGCCGCTCAGACTCGTCGAGAAGAACGTGAAACTGCTCCGCCCAACGTACGTTCCACACGACCATCGTCGGCCCTGCTTCCACTGAACGCTGAGCGCTCATTGTTGTATCTGACAGCCTGGATAACTACATCTACACCCCCGAGGAAGGCCGCACGTACGTCACCGAGCTCTTCAAGCTGATCGAGAACGGCACTGTCAAGATCAACATCCACGGTGACTACCCCTTCACCGCCGAAGGCGTGCAGCAGTCGCAGAAAGACCTCACTGGGGGCAAGACGACTGGCAAGTTGCTTATCAAGATCTCGGACGCGTAGGTTGCTGGCCTGGTTTGCGCACGAAGAACTCAACAATGTAATATATCTCATGTCCAAAGATCAAATTCTCAGCACAAACTATGACGGCATAGTCCTGTTCATCGGAGATAGCGGAAGGTATGGACAATCCATGTTTCTCTTATTCACGACATGCCTACGTGACATCTGCGGGTTCTAGTCTAATGAGATAACTTATGCATGCTAGTAGTACGCTGATTGCATTGCTACGTGCTGATGATCCCTCTCCATGCGATACATTATCCATTCATGAATGCTTGTTTACAATCTGATACCTTAATTGTATGCATATGGTATATCCTTGGTGGGCTATGCCACGTCTTCCCAGTCGTCGGGCACGTCCTGCGGGCTAAGAGGTGTTGCGACGGGTGCAAGCGCGGGTGCAGTGATTGGGGCGGTACGGATAGGTCCAGGGGACGGAGCGGGCCTCACTGGAGTCTTCGTGCGTGGCGGAGTGCCCCATGAGCTTGGCGCAGGACTGGCGGACTGAGGAGGACGGGCAACGACGGACGTCCATCCTCTGCCAGACGAGGTCCCTGGCGCGGGCTGCGAGACGGGAGCCAGAGACGCTCTAGAGAAACTGGGGCGGGACAGCGACTGCAGGCCACCAGCCGAGCGGAGGTCCGCGAGCTTGCCCAGGCCAGACGCGCCGCCGACCGACGCCGACAAAAGCGGAGCGGGTACACGCGAGTCGACGCGCCGGATGAGCTGCACGCTCCGGTGCGGCTCCTGGTCGACCATCTGGGTGTCCATGCGGTACACGGCCGCGAGGTCGTGCACGAACTTGCGCTTCTGCTCGGGCATGTGCGGCAGCACCTGGCTCTTCTTGTCCGTCGCGAGGAAGTCCGCGAAGCTCTTCTCGACGAGCGCGCAGAACTTGACGTTTGCGCGCGCGAAGCTCGCGAGCTCGTCCGAGTACGTGACTTGGTTGGCACGGCTGTCGCGGTCCGGGTTGATACCGAGCGCTTCTGCCAGAAGCGCATTGCGCTTCGCGATGGCGCATTCGTTCGAGCACTTGAGCTGCTGGGTACTCTCGCGGCCGCCGGGGTTTGATAGGGAGCGGCCGCAGGGGATGGGTTGGCGGATGCGGCCGCAAGGACAGGTGATGGTGACGATTGCGCGGCACGGCTCAGACTCGTCGCAGGAGGCAGGAGCATGGCAAGAAAGCTGGCACGCGTGGAGGGCGGGTAAGCTGCAGACCAAGTCGGTATCAGTGACGCGTTACAGGTAGATGCCACCAGACGTGGATGACTCACCAGAGTTTTCGAGGCTTGCCGCAAGTAGCATGGCAGTCGCCGCACGCGTCCGCATGGCAAGAACGCTCGCAGTGGTGGAAACCGCAAGGGAGCAGCTTCCCGCACGTGGCGCCGCAAGACACCTTCTCCTGCGCCTGCGAGCATTTGACGTGGTCGACCATTTTCTTCCCGCAGGCACACTGCTTAGTGGTGAGATGCACGCAGGGCGGACACGGTGTCGGATCTTCGTGGCAGAGGTGCGGCATCTTCGGATGTCCGCACAACGGCGGAGGGCGAGGACAGGGATACATACATGCCATCCTCGTGCCGCAGGGGATCGGGGGCTCGAGAACAGTGCGACCGCAGTAGCAAACCATCTGATCGAGGAAGTAAGTAGGTGTCAAGAGGAAACGCACAAGAACAAGACCGAACACAGCGACGTACCTCGTCGAACGAACTGCGCAGACAGGGCGGGCACGCCCCCTTGTGGTCGCGTTCCGCGCAATGATGGTTCCCGCAGCTCAGCGGCTTCCCGCACACCAGGTCGCACTGGTGCCAGCCCTCGGGGTCAACCAGCGCGTCCGCGGGTTTCTTCTTGCCCTTGCCCTTCGCCAGACTCGCTAGCACCGCGGCTAGCGGACAGCAAATTCGGTTGCACTGATGGCGGCCGCACTCCCGCAGGATGTGGCAGGGGCGCTCGCAGAGGATCTCCGAATCGGGCCCGCTCTCGCCGCGGGCGCGCGCACGGGCCATGGCTTGGTCTTCGGAGCAGAGCACCTCGCGCGTCGTCGAGCCGCATCGACAGGGGCGGACGATCCGAATGGAGCATGGAGGGCAGTGGCCGGTGTGGCATTTCGCGGAACAGACGTGCTCGCACCCTTCGAGGGGCTTCATGCAAGTCGACGCGCAGGTGGGGACGGGATCGGTACATGCCGTGCGTGTGAGCAGAGCGCCTGGAGGGAAGAAGGGGGCGGACTCGGGAGCCAGAGCGTGCTTGCCGCAGGGACAATGCGTGACGATCTTGGGCGAGCGGGGACAAGGTGCTGGGGTCGGGGAAGGCACATGGCATGACTTCTTGCAGTGGTGGATGCCACAGTCGAAAGGTCTGCGTCGTATGGGTCAAATACATTCTTTCCTGGGGACAAGACGCCAAAGTAGACTTACCTGTCGCATGTCTCTTCACAGGCAAAGCGCCCGACCCACTTTTCCTCTTGCCCATCTAGGACAACCGCACACTCCTTGTCCTCGCCCTCTCCACAACCCAAATCTTTCTCGACCTTCCCGCAGTAGCATCGCGCCGTCTCTCGAACGAGGCACGGGCTGCACTTGCCTGGGTGGCAAATCTCTTGACAGACGTGGTTCCCGCAGCTGAGCTTCCGCTCACAGAACTGGTGACATGATAGCTCTGTGGTCGCTCTCCCGTGGCTGAGATTCGAGCACCTGAACGAGATCGTCTCCTTGCCGCAGTAGCACGCGTGCGACGTCGTGACCTGACAAGGAGGGCAGGGACCAGGGTGGCAGTTGAGCGAGCAGGGGTGGCCGCATACGCGTGTACGGGTGCACGGGTTCGCGCACGAGTGAGGGGTCGCGAGACGCGGAGGCTTCGGATCGGGAGTAGAGCCGCAAAAGCACCTATGATCGCAGAAGGAGGTCAGTGGACGAGGCGCATATAGTGACACGATGTGGCAGCTTGCGGCTCACCAATAGCTGCTCGGGATGGCGCTCCGTTTCGACTGGCAGCCAGGGCACCGCCAGTCTCCCTGCCGTTCCTCGCCTCGCGCTCGCCACGCCTCTTCGACATCCTTGACGCTCTTAACGGCCCAGGGCTTGATGCACTTGAGGTGGAACGTCATCCAGCAGCACTGTGCCGATGTGTCCGCCGGCTGAGGTTTACCAGGCGAGGCACCCTCGTCGTCCGTTGCGGCCAAAGTAGGATGGGAGGGAGAACACGACCAAGTGGGCTGCATGGGGGTGATCGGTGCGAAGCAAATGAGACAGTCGGGGTAGGGCGGGGTGCTGAGCTCCTCAGTGAGTCGCGAGGTGAGGTCGTCGGCCTTGAGCTTGGGTGCGGTACTGCGGTACTTCTCAGTAGGAGGGGCATCTTGCGTGACCGACTCGTTGCGTCCATCGGTGAGCTCACCGCCAAACTTGCGTCGACGCTGGCGCAAATTCCTGGAAGCTGGAGTCCCTTCAAGTAACGTATCCTTCTCCTTGGTGCGTTTGGGAGTGCTCGTTCCGCTTAAGGGCGCCGCGCCCGGATGTCCCTCTCCCGGTCTCCCACCACGACCCTTGGGCCTCGGTTGGCGGTTAGAGCCTTCGCCTTTCGGTGTGTCATTGCCTACATCCGCATCTCCTTGTGCCTTCTTTTCTTGATGCTTTCCGCCTGATGGGCCATCCCGACGAGGTCGTGACTGCTCACCTGGATGCGCGTCTTGAATTTTGGGGGCGCGAGGCCTACGCGGCCTGCTAGCGCCTTCTCCTCTGCTATTGCTGCTGATGGGACCTTCGGGGCCGTCTCCGGTCGCAGGACGAGGTCCAAGGTCTTCAGCCCGCTTTCCGTCCTGGGGAAGCCGCCTAGGTCTGTGGCGCCGGGCGCCGGGGTCGGCGCTACCTGTAGCAGGGGCGGTTGTGGATGGGGCAGCAGCAGTATCCGGCATGCAACGGGTAGTGGAAGTAGCAAGCGGGGTCAGATGGCAGTAGCAAGCAGAGGTGGGGGCAGGTCGTTGCTGGAGCACACGAGGGCGCAGATCTCAAGTAGAGAGAGCAGGCCGGGGATGAGTCAGCGCTGGTCAACGTCGGAGGCAGTTTTTACCGCGCCTTGCAGCACTGCAGGCCGGAGGATAGTGTGTAACGAAGAGAGGAGTCAAGGATGCTCGACTCGGTGCCGGCGTGAAGCTCGCTTAACTCAGGTTCTGAGAGGTGTAGGCGAGAGGGCGTTTGCGAAGATATCGACATGTCGCAGACGACGCAGATGAGGTGGGAAAGGGAAGCGCCGGCAATGTCCGCTCGGACCGGCGCCGATGTTTTCGCGGTGCAGCCTGCAGACAACCACATCCATTCATGCCGGCAAGGTCCGCGTGTGAGCCTCTGCTCTGTACTCCTGAATGCGCTGTTTTGCATAACTTATTCACCGACGGCAATTATCAAGCGTGGAGTGTCATGCATCCGTCTGAGCGTCCGATGGGGATGACATAGACGAGGAGGCTGGATCCAACCGTATTTATGGTTTGTGCAACCTCATTGGCGTGCTGAGTGCTCGATTCCCTGCGCATCGAAGTGACGTTGACATGTGTGTCGTAGGTATCATCGTCTTGCAAAGCACGGCGGTTAGTTAGCAAGCTGGTGGCGCACTCTCTCCCGTGTCCCCACCGGCCGCGGTCTCACTTCGCTCATGCTGTCAGCCGCCGTCCCAAATGGTCGGTATGGATATATACACTTCCCATCTTGATTGCGGGGCCCTCACCTCTACCTGCCATGGACCTCTTTCGCGAATCTGTGGCTGGCCAGCTCATCTACTACGCCAGTCGTAAGAAGACGCTGTACTATCCGGAAGAAGACCCCACCTGGTCCGTCCCATCCCGCTACTTCTCCCGCACCGCCAGCGAGAAGCCGCCGCCCGCCCCGCGGTCACCTCCCCCTGTTCGGCATCAAGCATCAGCAATCAGCGCGCTGAGTGGACAAAGCGCCAACGACCGATATTATACTCCTCGAGAAGAATTCGACGGCCAGTTCTATCCAGGCAGAGAAGATAGCCGGTCCCTCCAGGCTCTTCAAGATGACCGCCATTCTCATGGCATCAGCCCCTCCAGTAGCGCGACTGCTATTCAAGACGACAACGTGCGTGGCGGGAAAGAGCTGACAAAGGGCGGGAAAGTACGTGCCGGCCTCACGGAGGTTGATCAAATGTATGAGGAGGAGGTACGATCCAGCGACGGCGCCCCAAATCGTGCGGACGACCCAAATCTCGTCGATTGGTATGGCCCTGATGACCCTGACAACCCTCGAAACTGGTCTACATTCAAGAAGTGTTTTGTCACATTTGACTTGTGCTTTTTGACGTTCAGGTACCTCTGCCCTCTCCCCCTTCATATGAAAGGTTGTTGACATTGTACATAGTATCTACATGGGTAGCTCTATCGTCACACCCAGCATACCCGCTTTGGCAGAATATTTCCATGTGTCCACTGTTGTCGCCACGCTGGCCCTTACTGTCTTCGTCGTAGGATACGGTGTAGGACCCATGTGAGTGTTACACAATCAGTGTGTGAAGCCCTCATCTGTTGACTTTGCCGTCCGTTGCAGGTTCCTCGCGCCCCTCTCTGAGATACCGGCCATCGGTCGCAATTTCCCATATATTATCACGCTTCTGATCTTCGTGGGCCTGCAACCCGCCGTCGCTACCGCAAAGAACCCCGCCACTTACTTCGTCCTCCGGTTCCTCTCTGGATTCTTCGGCTCCCCTGGATTGGCTACAGGAGGTGCGTCCATCGGAGACATGTTTGAGCCCAAAAAGCGTGCGTACGGCATCGGCATCTGGGGTATTGCTGCAGTCTGCGGGCCCACTCTCGGTCCGCTCATTGGAGGGTAAGTGATTGTCACAATCCACGCCGGATATTCGCTAAGCACCCTCTACAATCCAGTTTCGCGTACGACGCCCTCGGATGGCGCTGGACGATTTGGCCACTCTTATTCCTCTCCTCGGCGTCCCTCGTCTTCCTCACCTTCCTCATGCCCGAGACGTCCTCGTCCAACATCCTCCTCCGCCGCGCGAGGCGCCTGCGCAAGCGCACCGGCAACCCGAACCTCTACACCACGGGCGAGATCATGCAGCGCAACATGAGCGGGCGCGAAATCCTGGTGATGACCTTCGTCCGCCCGTTCGCGCTCAACTTCGAGCCGATCGTCGGCCTCCTGAACCTCTACATCGGCTTCGTCTACAGCCTGCTCTACACGTTCCTCACCGCGTTCCCGCTCGTCTTCGACGACATCTACGGGTTCAACTCGGGCCAGGAGGGGCTCGCGTTCTTCGGCCTCTTCGTCGGCGCGCTGCTCACCTACGCCGGCTTCTGCGTGTACGCGCGCTACAGCCTCGAGCCGCTCTTCGTGCGCAAGGGCGGCATGATCGACCCCGAGGACCGGCTCATCCCCGCCATGTACGGCTGCTGGGCGATCCCGGTCTGCCTCTTCGGGTTCGGGTGGACGAGCACGCACGCGGTGCCCTGGATCGTGCCCATCATCTTCTCCAGCTTCTTCTCCATCGGGACGTTCCTGCTCTTCCAGTCCATCCTGTGAGTGTGGCGTGTGCCAGGCTGAACGCTCCCCGGCTCATGCTCTCCCGCTCTGTTTGCAGGAACTACGAGGGGGACGCGTACCCCGACTATGCGGCGTCAGTGCTTGCGGGGAACGACCTGGCGAGGAGCATCATGGCGGCCGCCTTCCCGCTCTTCGCCGTGCAGATGTTCCAGAACCTTGAGAAGAACGGACCAAAGGCTGTAAGCAAACGGTGTACAAGTAAGCGCTTGTCGCGGCTGACCAGCCGTGATCTTGTGTGTAGTTCCCCGTCGCATGGGGCTGCGTCCTCCTCGGCTGCGTGAGTAGAATCAATGTACTAGTGTTCCTTGAAACAGCTCTCTGATCACATCTCGATTAGATTGGCGTCGTCCTATGTCCGCTCCCGTTCATCTTCTATCGGTACGGGGCCAGGATCAGGAAATATAGCAAATATGGTGAGCGGTCCCATTCGAACCCAGCCTGCGTCAGCACTGATAGCGGTCTGTTCCAGCGACGAACGAGCCTCGCATGGAAGGAGAAATGGGCCCGGGCGGCGCATAGACGATCGCATCGCATTGAGACACGGGTCAGTTGGATTTTGTTTGCTACGGTATTATTACGGACGCTCCGTCATGCGCCCGATATTCGCGCGTCGTTCATGATGCTTGTTGTACGGTATTTTCAATTAGTCGTCGGAGAAGCCGACCCAATACGACTGTCCATGCGCCGAGTATTCCCGGCAATATTGAAAACCCGCACAGCTAATAAGTAGTAAGTTGTCTTTATTGAGAAGAGCATTTTAAGAGAGTCCAAGGCGGTTTCGCTTATCGCCGAATTGTATGTATCGATACAATACGGAGTGCTCGTCTCATGGTCGCGGTTCAAGGCAAGGCGATAGAATTGTCCAAAACACCTATTCGACTACAAGGAGACATTAACGAACTCTGTATCTGTCTACTTCGGTACTGAAACATCTCCCCACGCACCCACCTGATATGTCATGAAGGAAGACAAACCATGACCTCACCTGCAAATAATACACGGACGTCAGTCAGCAAAGGCTTAGTTGAAGACTCACTTCGAAGGTTGTACAGCCACATTCCCAGAGCCCGGCGTACACTTTACGATGACAATCCGTCAGCTTCCCGCCCGCATACTGCGACGTCAGGTGAGCACTCAAGTACTCACCAGTCAGAGGCTCAGCCTTGCAATGCGACGCGTCCACTCCGCACAGTCCGAGTCGCCCGTCCCTGACAGACGACTTGATCGAAAAGGCGTTGGCTCGCCTGTATTCTCCAGCCGTTGACGGCAGGGATGAGGACGAGCCCGAGTGGAACGCGGCGCGAACGTCGACTGCCACTAGGTGGGCTGACCATCGACGGGCGGCTGACACTTCGGTGCGCATAGCGTGCTGTGACGGTCACTACATGAGTACGGTCCGGATAGGGGAGGGGATAGGGAGAGCGTAAGTGGTCGTGAATCAGCCAATATGAGGAACATATCCCAGCCAGGAGCATTATTGTCCGGGAGGACTGGAGCAGCAGTCTGCGTGCCACAATCATTAGTGGCTGACTGTGCACGACATAAGGAAGGACGTACCAAGGACTGCTGCACACCCCTGACGTTGACTGGAAGCTGAAGTTCAGTATGGGGGACATAGTGAAAGCGGGATGCGACGTACAGCGTCGTGAGGTATGCCCACGACGGAAGAAGCGGCGAGAACAGACCCGACTTCACATCTCTCGCAGCAAGCGTACGGCCAGCGACCCAACATCACAGTGAACTGATGCGAGTCGCCGGTGCACCTAGAGCATAGAGAGAGGGAAGTGAAGATGGGAATTCTGAGGAGAGAAAGGTGGGGCGAGGAGGAGGGCTCTTATAGACTCAGAGGACAGAGGCTGGCGATGATCAGTGGCGAACATCGGCACGTCCATACTCGGCTCGGCTTTAAGGGACTCGGTGGCCAGCCGAGTCAGGCTACAGATCACCCATCCTTGTGTGCGCCGTGGCTTCTTATCTTGGGTCAAAATGATCGACTCTGGTCAGTGGCTGCGTCCGCATTTCGCTGAGTCGTCCACTTCACCACGACTGCTGACGTCTATGTGTTCTACACCGCTCCTAGAATCGTCAGCCCTGTTCGGCTCCGGATCGTCTTGGCGTCGCCTCTCCTCGTGTGCGCCGGTGGGGAGGGACGCCAGGAGATATGGGGTGCGCTAGTGAACGACGAGGTCGACCGCATGAGCGGCATTTGCGTGAGTATTCCACTTAGACTGCAGCTGCTACCTGATGGCTATATACGCCGTGAAGCGATTCAGTGTACATGGCGGTCTAGGCGGCAGATGGAAGGGTACGCTCAGCATGCTGGCGGGCAGCACGGAGCCTACGAACGGTGTGAAGGTGACTGGAGACATTCGCAACTGAATACGCGTCCTGCCAGCGGTCTCCTTCGCTTCAGAGATACGTGAGTGCTCCAGGTGTGGACGCCGCGAGGAACTCGGGCACAGCCGTGATGCAGAGGGCATCGGGACTTGCCATGGTGCCCGCGTTGTGATCGGTCGCCATGAGCAGTTGGAGGCGACGGTAAACCCTGCTCGCTCACCCGAACATCGTCCGTGTTGAGCAAACACATACGAGCTGGGAGGGGAAGCTCCATGCGTCGGGCTTCTGTCCAGGCGGCAGGTTGTTGAGTGTGGAGGAACGTTGTACTAGCGATGAGGTAGAGCAGAGGGGGTGCATATACTTGGTAGCGTGCTGATTGAATGGTGTCAGGCCTGACAATAGGAGAACGGCGGTATAGACAATCCATCATGAGGTCGAACCGTAGCATCGGGCCATTGTGCTTTATAAAGACCTGACACAGACTGGAGCAGGTGAAACGGAGGAGGGGAGCAGCCGCGCGATAAAGGTATGATGTATTGGACATACAAATGCACATGCGACAATGCACAGTGTTGAGCAGACGACGTACCTTGTGCCTTCCTGCGACCATTCCCGGTTCGAGTTCGAGTGCATAGATTCCACTGTACCCCTGTGGTTCTTGCCACCAGAAATAGACATTGAGGTAGAGCGTTACGGTAGGACGACCGTGTAACTGAAGGTGGGATGGACCATGGCAGAAAGGGTAAGGTGACAGGAGCAGTGCTGAGCTCAGGGGAAAGGTGCTGAGAGAGACCAGTCGGCCAATATTTGCGGAGAGAGCAAGGTCGAGCAAGACAGACACGAAGGGGACGCGTTGACTCGTAGGCAGCACTGCAGACGCCCGCCCGTCTTGCGCGCCATCACGCGCACGGGCTCGCGACGCACTAACGCAAGTATGCAGTGTCCGAGAAAGCAAAGAGCATGTCCGAAAGGCGCGGTTGAAGATGTTGCCAACGATTGTTGAGATCATCCATACAACTCGGGAGTACCACTGTCGCGTACGGCTGTTGCTCTCTGGGCCCGTAGGGAACCGAGGGATCTCTACGTCTGCAGAGACACTCAGAGCCACTTTGCAGTCAAATACTGGCATTAACATTCTACACGGCAACAGGTCCAACACAAACAAGGAGCTGGGCGACATCGACTTCACCCAGACCAGAAACGATACAAAGTCGGGAGCATGTATGTCCCACAACCAAAGGAGAAATCAGAAATGTCTAAATCCAACGAACCATGTGGTGCTCAGCCGTTCGGATCGCTGTCACGGGACACCACAGACCGCGGGCGGTGCAGTTGACTCCGAAATCACCTTAGGAGTCGTAGGTGGTGACGGTCTGCGTGAAGGTGACATTCAGGGCGTTCTATAAGAGTAGTTAGTAGACGTCGCAGCAGGTATCACGTAGAACAAAGAACACTGACCACCTGAGCCAGGGCGGGACCCTGCTCAGTGGGGATGAGGTCGATCAAAGCGAAAGCGAAGGTCTGAAGGGAACGCAGAGCTTGTCAGCTTGACTCCACTGACTGGATGAATGAATAGCTCTACGCACGTCTACGACAGACTCGAGGGCCCTCAAAGCCTCCGCAATGGGAGCTGTCAACGCGAATTGAGCAGCGAGAGACTATGGGATCATTGTCACGGTCAGTGGTAGGAGATACTTCCAGTGATTCTATACGTACATGCTTGCCGATGATGAGCTCGAGAAGCTGCCTAAACATCAAGCAGTGTCTGTGTCAGAACGAGAACTGCTGGGATATAACCGTGTCTCCTACTGGTGGACCTCGACGAACGTCGTCAAGACGTCGACGACCTCGATGGCTACGTCGTCCGGGTAAGGGGGAGTGGAGGGCTGCGAGGTCATGATTGAGCCCGATGTAAATGCGTCAAGGTGCATAAGACTACCGACCGAGAACTCTGCGTTGAAGCTGTTGACAGCGGTGGTGATGTTTTCGAGGCCGGCTGGAATTTCCTGGAACCAATTGTTAGAAAGTGGTGGAGCCCCAGAATGCGTAATACTGACAGGGCCGTCGGTGGCGAAGTTCACGATGCTCAGGTCGTTGACGGTATCCGCCAGGTTTGAGGACACGCTGGTGAACGACTGGATCGCGGAGATGACGGCGTCAGAGCTTTGTGCCATGGCACCAGCCGCGCCCAAGAGGACGACGGGGAGGACGTTGACGAGGGTGCTGAAGAACTTCATTGCGAGATAAAGCTGAGTGCTGTCGAGAGGAACAGAGAGGCTGTGCGAAGCTGCTGTGTGCGTCGAGAGATGTGAGGAGCTGAAGAGCAAAGGGCCAAGGCATGTCGATTCTTATACGAACATGGACGAAAGTGGGCGCTCGCCATAGTCGTCCATGATGAATTCCTCGCTGCCGTCCAGCGTTTCGATCCACCTGTGCGTCAACAGTGTCAGCGGTTGAGAAGCAGTGAGGTAATTGGCGGCGCACCTCCTCGGGGATGTTCGCCCAGCAAGAGAAACGATGGAATGGCTGATCAGTTCTAGGAACTTGGCCGCTACGTAATAGAGCTTGGACAGCCCGTAAAGCACTCCATAATTACTATTATATTCAGTTAGATTGTCGTGTGTACGAATGTGCATGCCCATTGCCATGCATCTTCACAGTCGCGGGTATGCGGGGAAGCCTACGCTGCCAGGCCAAAGCGAGCGCGACGCCTGGATGACTTCCAATGCCACGCCGGACAACTTTCCGTTGTGCTACAAACGTTCTCAAATGACTGACCCGCATGTTTTGGACCATATACAGAAGACGCCCATTCACTGGCAACACCTTACGATGAAGGCCATACTCTTCGGAGTTATGACACTTCCTTAAATGCGCCAATAGGTCAGTAAGAATCATCGAAGAGGGCACCGTCAGTAGAAAGCTCACATGATCCAAGGCCGCCGGGTCCATTCCTTCGTGCCTAACGCATACGCAACATTGAGAAAGTACTTTCGCCAGGCCTAAGACCGAATGTGCCTCCCGCGCCTAGCTGAGTAAACCGATTAAGGAGACAGAGACGCCCACTGGTGTTAGAGTGCAAATCCTTGTGGCGTGCCCTACATGACTATTATGTCACTTGACGGATGCAGGCTGGTAACGAGGGAACTATGCCATCTACAACGACAATGCCCGGAGCGCCATGCGATCATCTGAGCGGCCGAGCGGAGTCGTACGGGCATGTCGGTGACTGAAGACATGGAAGTCCCGCTATGAGCTTTCGGGACGTCCGGCTAATGCAAACAGCTGCACTGCACATCCTCACGGGCCAGTCTCAGGGGACGAGTTCCTCACGTTGCTCATCCTATGATACAGTCAATGATTGGTCAGGTGACTACCATTCATAGATTGTACGAAGAACATACCTCGTGACCGCTACTTCTCCGTGACCGCTACTTCTCCGTGACCGCTACTTCTCCAGTTCGACCGTCGTCGTCGAGGCTCGAGGCGTGCGGGTATTTTTCTATTAATCGGGAATCGAACGTTCGAACGTAGTCATACGTACGGCTTGAAAACTGATGAATTAGGGGAAACTCAATGAAGTGCAGGAGAATGCTACTATGGAGGGTAATAGAGAACTTCACACGGGATTGGGGATCCGCTTTCACGAAATATATGATCTTCTGTGGAAGGGGAAGAAACCCTGGGCCTTCTTGTACTGAACATGAGTTGTTATAGGGTAACGCCATTACTTGTTTCTAGCGTATGAGTCCCAAGGAAGAGGGCCCAGAACTCCGTCGAGCTCTCGGGCTGGGTTGACCTATGTTTTCGATCGATCAATACTCTCCACGGCTAATGATAGAATATGATATGCCCGACAAGCAGGAGCCCGTGCAGTCGATGCCATTCCACCCATCACGTGTGTATATCTGCAAGCCCCTTGATTTTCCACATGCCATCCAAGTTACGCATCTAGCGTGCGATTGTCCGAGGTGCGTCAGCTAGCGGAAGAACAGGGACTCGTTCTAGCACGAACCAGTTCTGCGAAGCCTTCTTCGCGTATCACCTCAGCGACCAGTTTCTCGAGCTCGCCTGCCGAGAGCGCATATAGCCCATGGCTGTCCCTCAGGGTGGCCGAGATGTCCGATTTCAGCTCAGGGCCAGAGGAGCTTGGTTCAGATGCAGCGAGAGTCGCGCTGGAAGCGGTTCTAGGGGTCGACGTTGGCGTTGTCTGGGATGGCTGCGAGCTACGCGGCGGATTCATCTGCGCTGGAACAGGCGGCGGCGGCATCAATACAGGCGAAGAGGTGCGGGCCGGGAGTCTTGATGAAGGCGGTGGGGAGGAACTTGGTAAGGACGAGCTAGGGAAGGAGGTCTCGACGTCGTTTGAGCTGCCGTGCAGAGAAGCAGCTCGTCCAGTAGTGAGTACGTCCGAAGGGATAGTGTCGGATGCGGATTGATGGGCCACCACGGAGGAGGCCGTTGAAGCAGACCACGGGCGAGACACAGGCGTAGCTACAGATGGTGCTGGCGCTGTCGGTTGGCTGGGTTGAGTCAGGGTATCCCAGTCCATGCGTCTGCTCAAGCTCGGCGAGGGAAGTAGAGCGAAAGCGGCGGGCTGGAGTGTCTTCGATGCGGCTCCTTCCCCAGGCATCACCGACAAAGCCTGGCGCGAATCAGAAGCCGATGATCGCGACATAGACATGGGTATATGCGTCGTCGTAGCAGAACGTCCTGATGCCGCTAGGGATAGCTGAGTCTCTGAAGGGCGTGGGGCACGTGCCGGAGGGGCCGGGTTTGCCTTGCATGGACATACAAAGCGAATGCAATCTATGAAGTTGGTGGCTGAGCTCTCGTTCTGGAATGTTATCTGGAAGCGTCGATACTGCTGTGGCGGAACGTTAGTCAATTCATGGCACTCAAGGCATGGACTTACTGGTATCGTGCCAGAGCATGGTACACAAGGGTACTGGTACCGAAGTCCCACTACAGCACCCTGGTAGACGGCTTTCAACGGCATACCTTGAGCAACTTGACGAGCAGGAAGCGACGAGTAACTTAGGAGGTCGAGGTCCTCCTATGAGCACGTCAGTGTCAAGACGAGTCGATCTGAGCGACCACATCCTTACGAAATCCACTTCTCGTCTATCCACGTCCATCGAGTCTCGTCCAGCGCTGAAGGTCCACACGATCCGAATCTTGTAGGACTCGAGTCGTCCATCCGTTGTCTTCCTCGTGTCTAGCATGAGCCGGATCACGGGATTGACGAAATGTTGCCACTCGAGTTCCGCAGGTTGGGTAGCCTGAGCTGAGTGGCTATATGCTCTCGAATACTTGAGCAGCTCGAACGTCGTCGTGGATGTGGTCGACATGGACATTACGAGCAGACATGCGAACAGTCGTTTTCCGCTAGTTTCCGCCTGCTGGAATGAAGTTGGTAAGTAGAGGCAAGATCTACAGCTGTCAGGTTGGCGGAAAAGGCAGGTCCGAAGAGGCGGAGTCCTGCTCGGTCCATTATAGACGCCCGTACTCGGTCTTGAGCGCAGACCACACGGAAAGAACACGGATTGGAGAAACCAGGATATTTTGCACGATAATCAGGCAGATTTGACTACCAAGAGGAAATTATCAGCATCAGGACACGACACATTCAAATGAAGTTGAGGGACAGGAGCTAGGCAGGGATGTCCATACTGCGCTCTAAGTCCTGTAGAGACCTGAGAACATGGAACACAGTATTGATACCAGCGCGGACACTGTCTAGATCTCCTTCCACAGTCCGTGACACTATGGCAGAGAGCTTGTCCGGATGCCAACGTAAAATGGACGTGCGTATCCTATCCTTCATCACGACGGTGCTTGATCTCACAAGCATCGGACCGAGGAAGAATTCAGAAATGACATCGGAGGCCAGGTCTTCAGCGGAGGATGGGGGCGGGCTGGCAGGCCACGGCATGTCGGCGAAGGTGACTGGAGTGGTGGAAGAGAGGAGAGCGTTCCAACGAGCTTCGTACGCATCCCAACGCTCGAGAGTCTTGCGCTCCTCATCGACCAGACGAACCTCCGCCCGAACCTGCTCGGTGCGTGCCTTATCCTTGCGTCCAGAGGCGTCGCGTAGCCAACCGCCCGCGCTAACCCACTCCATCTCGCCCAAACGTATCTGCTCGCGCTCCAACTGTTGTCTCTGTGCCCGCGCTTGTGCCTGGGTCTCAGTTTTCTGCTCGGCATACCCAGAACGCTCTTGGGGTTGCCTCTGAGACTCGTACGAGTGTAAAGCGTTGACATCCGTATCCCCGAGCGTTTGCCTAAAAGTCGACGGTGCAGCTGCAGAGCCAGGAGGTGGAAAAGCAAAGTAGCCAGCCATATAGAGGAAGGTAGAGGAAAGCGCGAAGAGTCAGATGAGAAATACGACTGGGAGTACGTAGGGCGTAGCTGAAAAGGAAAGAAGGGCCAACTCCGAAGAACCAGACCTGCAAGACCCCGGAACCGCGCCGGCCACTCAAAAGAGCCAAGACCCTACCAATGAGCCAGGCTCAGCCAGCCCTACTAACACACGAGTCTACACGGGCTGGGCCAGTTTCATGTCTGAATTCGGGATATACATGTGGAGCACGGAGCCAGTACAAGTGGGCTATTTAGCCTCGGGGTACCCTTTGCATGCCTTGCTTGAGAACAGAGGGAAGAGACTATTATGTACACGATTGGATGAAGGAGTCTGTTTGAACTCCGCCACGAGGCACTGCGTCTGCAGCTGAGTCTGACGCTGTCCCAGACCTCCCCCGTCTCGGTCTGCCTCTGCTCCAAATATCTCCATCTGGCGCTGGGTCTAGTCTCTCGATGGGCTCGTACTATCGCGAGCATGTCTCTTACCCCAATGTCACTGCCGGTCCCTATCCTCCCGACCTCGCCGCTACCCTCGAGAGTGTCGGCAGCAACATCACCAATACTCACCAAGACGATCCCAAGTACTGTTCCGTCAAAGGATGTTCCGCCTCGCTCCCTTCCGGTTACCCACACAAGATGTGCGAGGAGTGTCGGGGGCGGCATCGCGTATATGCCATGACAAAACGCGCAAAACGCAAAATGGAGAAGGCTTTGCTCAACGGCTCCGCGCAGCACGGCCAGCCCGTTGCTTGGATGCCCCCAGACGAGACCGGCCAGCAGGCGCAGGACCAATCGGGGCAGTCATCCGAGGCAGCCGCGAGCCCGTCGCGTCAATACGAGGTAATGCTTCACTCTGTTCTTGCGCAGTGAACGCGTCAGCAGTCTGTGGATGGCCCATCGAGACATTCACATCCTGTTCCTCCTTCACTCGCATGACTTCTTCGCACCGTGCAAGTGACAAAGAGCTTCTATGACTGGCATCAGGCCCCTCTTCCTGATTACTGAGCTGACGCGTACCAATCATTGGGGTGGTTGCTTGACGTAAACTTAGGTCGCAGTCCACAACGCTGGTTCTTCCACAAACTTGTTACTCGGTCTGACTCGTGTACATGAGGGTTCTTCGCTAAGGGTGTGTTTCGCTTGATCGGCGTTTCACGAGCACATGTGGACTGGGAATGTCGTACGAGACGGTTGTGACGTCTTGCAGGTAGGCCAAAGTCAATCGTGATCTGATGCTTTGAATCCTACTATACCCACGTTATGTGGATGCTGATACTGCTCAGCACTATAAGCATAAGCAGTCATTGTTCATCTTGTGATAGGTCTGTTCATCCACTGCGGGCTCAGGTCCCAGCGACGTACAACGCGCTCTTACGCGTACAAATTGACTGGTCTTAATGATTCAATCTCGTACACGACTCAGCTATACCCACTCAACGCCGCCCTTCTGCGTTCTCAAGAGTGCATGTATGCTGATCCCTGGCATTCGCTTTCACAGGTCCCGGTGCAAGGCCAGAACCACGAAGGATACGACTTTTCACAGCAATGGGACGCTAGCTCGATTGATCCTCGTCTCTTCTCTCATACTCATACGGCATCTGAACTCGCTGGGGCACTAACACTCCCTCCGTCTCATCACCCTGTCAATAATGAGCAGTATTCAAGACACAACCAACCGCCACAGCAAAGACCGCATCAGCGCTCTGTTACGTCTCCTCCCTCTTCCCCGTCTCCGTCTGACGCACCAGAGATCCACCCGGTACTTGCTGAAGTGCTGAAGTCTGTACCCGGTCTCAGCTTCACGACGCGTGTAACCTCTGGTCCGACGATCTCCTCGGGTTCCGCCGAAGGACCGCTCCCTCCGCGATTCTGCTCCATCAAGGGCTGCAAGACGCTCATCGCCGGCAACTCGTTCTTCAAGATGTGTGAGCCCTGTCGGGATCGCTATCGCAACTACGGGACGACCAAGCGCGCCAAGTGGAAACGCGAGAAGGAAGTGGCCGTCGCTGAGCTGAACAAGCTCCGCGCGGAAGAGGACGTACGGCGCGCGGCCGAGGGCCTCCCACCCCTTCCCCCTCCCGACGACGTGGACTGGCATGATTACCACCCTGGAGAAGACGACGCAGCGGACCCGACGTTGAGCACCCCTGGATCTAGCGGAGCCGGCGAAGGGGGCGACAGCGCTGCGCCTGCGGCGGTCCCGCCCCGCATGTGCACGGTCTCGCATTGTCGCGAGATCCTACCGGGAGACTACCAGTTCCTCCGCTGCGAGCGGCACCGCATCCAGAACCGACACCACAGCAAGCTGAAGCGCGTTCGGGACAAGGAGGTCAAGGCGCAGGTCTATGACGGCTGGGCCGCAGCGATCGCCCCTCGCGCGGACAGCTTCGACAGCGTGGAGGACCGTTCTGCTGAGGACGACCCGGCGGCGACGGCGACGGTCGACCCTGATGAGGTCGCTGCGCAGGAAATCGCGCTTGCATTCGGAGAGCTAGACCGGTCTCACGAAGGTGAGGGTAATCCTGCACCTGAGTTTGCGAACGTCGTGCCGGAGGCCGCTCCTATGGTCACAATCGTCCAGGAGACGGGCACTGGGACGCAGATCGTGGTGGAAGAGCCGGCAGATGATACTCCGCTCGGTGATTCAGCCTCTGGGGTGCCCCCCGCTGCGCGCGGGTTCCGGAGGACGAACCACGTTTGCTCGATTAAGCAGTGCGCAAATTTGCTCTCCCCAAGCAACCCATGGAAGATGTGCGACCTGTGTCGGTCACGCGACCGCGCCGGACGGCGGCTGAAAGCGCTGCGGGACAGCGGGCTCATCCCCGCCGAGCTCGCCGCGGGGAAGATCGTTGAGGTGAAGATGGAGGTTGAGAGGTTGGAGAGGGAGAAGGGCCCGAGGAAGGAGAAGAGGCCGAAGGCGAAGAAGGCGAAGAAAGGATCGGAGAGCAACGCTGACGCGGATGCGCGAGAGAGGGATTCGGCTGCTCCGCCTGAGCAGCTGCAGCAGCCCGGACCGGGGACGTCGGTCGCGGCGATACAACAAGATGGGGACTCTAGCACGTCTGTGTTCAGCGTCCCGGTGCAGAGCCACGAGAATCTGATATTCATGGAGCCGTTGTTGGGGCCGCTCGCATCTAACCTCGAGCCGCACCTCGCGCAAGTACGTTGCAGTTTGACATCAGTATTCCGCGCGACGGTATTGACTATCACCAATGTCCAGGCCAGTGGCAGCGGCACGTCTAACAGTGGAGGTAATCAGGCGTTGGCGGACTGTCAAGCCCAGGGCGCCGCAACCTCTGCCACCAATGTGATTGTTAATGGACTATCAGGCTCCGATGCGTTAGCGGCTGCAACTCTCACTACCACGAAGAAACAGAACAAAGGCAAAGGCAGGGCGACTGCACAAACAACCGAAGACTCGGGCGAGACTGCCACGGTGAAGTCCACCAACGCCGCTCCCACATCGACTGCAGAGACCTCTCACCAGGGATCACCCACTTATCCATATTACCCTCCGCCTCCAAATGGCCAGCATCCCTACCCATACTACATGCCTCCTTACATGCCGCCATACAGCGTGCCAGCGTTTCACTATGGCTACCCGCCTCCTCCATCGCAAAGCAAAGCAGGGGCAGGAGCGTACTCTCCCCCGCCCGCCTACCAGCCGCCGCCCTACGGTGCTTACCCATACTCGTACCCATATGCCAGCCATCCCCATCCGTATCCTAGCCAGTCCTACCCACCGCTGCCTGGTCAGTCGTATCCCCCACCGCCTGTCGTACAACCATATCCTCCTCCTCCCGCGGGACACTCATATCCTCTGGCTACGTCTTATCCCCCGCACCCCTCAGGGGACCAATCCCAGTCTCAGCAGCCATACGCCAGGCATGCACCGTATCCTCAACCTGTGCCGCCGTATCCTTACACGCATCACTATTCGGTTGCTGCGGCGCCCCCACAAAACCAACCTCCACCGTCGCAACCGCCCCGGCAGCAGCCTGAGCCGCAACCTCGACCGACGAATCCTCCTACTCCTGCTCCCGAAGAACCTGGTCCTTCTGGCGCCGCTCCCTCCGCCTCGACTAGGCGACCCCAACCGCCTAGGACTTCGACGAAGGATAGCTCTACCAGCGGCGCACCCAATGACAACGACAATAGCATCGGCAGTAATGAGTCGGCGCAAAGGCAAGCGACGTTCATCGTACGTACGAGCGAGACGTACGGATCAACGTCCACCAACACGAATGGTCACAAGCCCATTCCTGTGTTCAAGCGGCAGCGAGAGGAGGATTACAGGGATACGTCCCCGAGCAAACGCTCGGAGCTGGACGCTGGCGGGACATACTCAAGGTTCCAAATAGTTATGGCAAACACATCGGCTCCTCCAACTCATCGGACACCGTTCCCTGGCGAAGGCATGATGGACACTTCGAGTTTGACTCCACCCCCTGCGTATGGCTATGCTCCGCAACCTCCCCTGGCTGCGTCCGAGCAAGCTGTGTTTACTGCTCCTTCTATTGCTCAAGTTGCTACTGCGGCGGAGAGTCAGAATCCAGAGAAGGTGAGAAATGTGCAGAGACATCCGGCGAGGACTTCCGAGGCTCAACGGGTTCTACGTCAGGCTCAGTGCAGTAACAAGACCTGCAAGCGCATCGTGCCCAGCGGATCGACTGGCTCGTTGTGCGAGCGCTGTCGGGAGCGCCTCAAGAAGAAGCAGGCCAAGGCGAAGCACCGTTTCAAGCTGGAGCCAAAGGCGCTCTTGGGGCGCGACTCCCCTCTTGTAGCTACGGGTTGAGAAGAACCACCGTTGACTTAGGTAGTGTTAAACTAATATCCGCCGACAAAACACGCCTAAATTGCTGTTCATTCCGCAATAACCTACATCCACGTGCATCGCAAGGAATTTCGTTGTACTCTAAATTCGGCTACGGTGAGAGCTGCGATAGACCTCTCCGTGGTATGTGTTCCTCGGCCGACAGGTTACCGGCGCCTACGATCATCGGACGGCGGATATCCCGCCCGAAACGATATGGATTCAATTTCCTTCCATCATCGGTCCCGCATCCTCATACTGACGCGCGGCTTCCCATGCAGACAGCATCCGGTCCCCTAGTCTGCTTGTACAATCGACTGTAATGGTCCGTGCCTAGACCATCCAATCCAGGTTCAACCTCTTCTTACGAAACTATCGAGTTTGGGCAACCCTCGGAGGGCTCGGCATGGCCAGTAATCCATCATTACGGTGATCTGAGTTACTCGCGACGACTCAAAACGATGCACGTCGGTCGGTATAAAGGAGGTCAGACGAAGGCTACCAGATCCATACGCGCGCCATTCCCCGCACGGAACGCACTGTCTTCCACCCACCCTACACTATCTGTGGGCCCTATCACGAGCAACACTTCCACTTGAACCACCAGGATGTCTTGCCCCGATTGTGTTACTGGTTCCGTCCACCAAGGAACTCCCACGGGGACGGAGGTCAAGGTTGGCGACATCGACACCTATGCCGTCGGCCCGGAGGATTCGAAGCGAATCATCGTCATCGGTGTGGACATCTTTGGGTGGAAATTCGTGAACACGCGCCTGCTCGCGGACGAGTATGCTTCTGCGGGCTTCAGAGTGCTCATCCCTGATCTCTTCAGTGGTACGTTTGTTGGATGTTATAGGTTCACTACCTTCAGGGGGCGCCCCCTTTATCTTTATTTCTCGAGACGTGGTACTCACAATCACTTCGCAACGCGTGCACCTGCGCAACAGGCTGGGAACTCCCACACTGGACCCTGAATGCCAACGACCCGACCAACGACAAGAAGTCACTCTTCACGCGCTACGTCGCCGTCCCCACCTCCCTCTTCTTGCTCGTCCCCTTCGTCATAAGCAACCAGCCAAAGCAGGTGGGTATCATCACCAAGCTCACGTCCGCCCTGCGGTCGGCGCACACCGACGCAAAGATCGGTTACGTCGGCTTCTGCTGGGGCGGCCGCTTTGCGATCACGCAAAACGCGCTTTTCGACGCGACCGTCGCGTGTCACCCGTCGCTGGTCAAGTTCCCCGCGGAGCTTGACGCGATCTCGAAGCCGTTCAGCCTCGCGGTCGCGGCAAGTGACAAGCACTACGACGGAAAGCGCGCGGACGAAACGAAGAAGATCCTAGAGGGGAAGGGGCTGAAGGACGTAGAGGTCAGGGTGTACGAGGGCGTGAATCACGGGTGGACAAGTCGCGCAAACCTGAGCGCGGAGGTGCAGGCAAAGGCGAAGGAGGAGGCGGTGCGACAGGTTGTGGGCTGGTTTGAGAAGTACTTGATCCAAAGTGCCGATCCCGCGGCGCCTGGAAACCTTGAAGCTGAGTCCATATCTGCACCTGTGTTTTGAGAGATATCGGGATTATGTATCCATTGTCACATGGTTGGTATACTCGTGGGCTTTGCGCGTGCGATCGAGTTTGCGATGGGCGGTGATTGCCCAGCTTGTCGAGGAGTAGCATTGTGGGCCCCGACACGCTGCTTATCCTTCTGCGAGCATCACGGCTACCTGCTACGCGCGGCGTTGATGTCTAAATCCCTTCAACTTCCCCCGTCATCTGATTCAGCTTACCAGAGCGCTCACTGCAACGAGCTGCAAGGATGCCACGCCGCGGTAATCCAAGCGGAGGGATCCCGCCATTCGTGCCTTGTGGCAGTCGTAATCGGCATCAAGCCGGTGCAACACGCAACGTCAGCCAGTGGGGTACTAACCATCACCGGCATTCTTTGAGCGAGACTTTGGCATCGTTTCTGGCTAGAGTCTGGCACATCGGATGCAGCGTGCACAGCAGCCCTGATCTTCTTCCTGCCTCAGCTGAAGGTGTGCGATGCCGTCGTGCGCGGGTAGAGGATTCCCAGAGAGCGTGATTACATCCGTGTGGGCCCTTACGCCCGTGAGTCTCGGAGCGGCAGCTGCTATGAAGCCTTGTAGTTTGTTGGGGCAAGACAAACATCCGCTCCTGCGCCCTAGACATTGTCGCGAACAGCAATGACCGATACCTCCAGAATCCTTCCTGTCCTCATCGTAAGTTGCGCTCCAATAATTCTATGCTATCACGTCGTTTCTGAAGCAATCCGACCGCATACAGGTTGGTGCAGGTCCTACCGGACTGGCGGCGGCCTTGACATTGGCGCAGAACGGAGTGCCGGTCCGCATCGTGGACAAGGAAGGGGCATTCCACGCCACGTCTCGTGGAGCCGGCATTCATGTCAGTACGGCAGAGTTCGTGCTCCGTGACTGATACTCACCCTTCCCGTCCAGCCGAGATCCGTAGAGATATTCCATTTCCTTGGGGTATTGAACAACGCCCGCAAGTTCCACAGAGACTTGCCGCCGTTTCAATCGTACAAACTCCCAGGAGGCACCGAAGTGTTGAAGAGATGGCATCTCTTCGACAAATTTGAGTCTTCTCCTGATCGTCCCTGGGTGAGTAGGACTGATGCAATATACAACTGGGTATCTGTGATGATGCCACACTTGCAGGATGCCATGACGATCAGCCAGTACTACACTGAGGGCGTTTTCCGCGACCACCTAGCCAAACACGGCATCCATGTGGAATTGCGTACAGAACCCGTCTCTATGGAGCAAGACGACAATGGTGTCACCGTCACCCTGCGGAAAGTCAGCGGAAGTGGAGCAGAGCAAACGGAAAGCATTCGCGCAGCATATGTGATTGGCGCAGATGGCGCTCGAAGTACGCCAACGCTGTCTCAACCTTTCAAACCAGAGGAAAGATAGAGGGGCTAAGCGATCTTTCAGGTATCACTAGGAAACAGATCGGCGCCACGTTCGAGGGGAAAACAAAAGATGCTGACGGTTCCGTATACGCGGACGCCGTGATTGAAGGCCTGTCGTCAGAAGTACATTCAGGATACCTTGTCCCTGCGAATACCACCATCTTAATCTGCCCTTTCCGCTAGTTATGGCATCTCTGGTCCACCCCTGGGAAGATGTTGTCAGTAAGAGCTTCCTACCTCCTGGACTACGAACTCACGAAAAACGCAAACAGGATCGGGGCACGACCGAAGTTGGAACCCAATGCCTTCCACGTCACAATTTTCAGCCGTGATTTCGATCCTGTTGAAATGGTCGATCAACAGAAGTTCGTGGACTTCTCTCACCAGACCACTGGGCGGAAGGACCTCCATTTCAAAGAGATCACAGCTTTAACTTACTGGAAGTGAGAGCGCCCTGCAGCGAGAACAATGCTAAGGATACTCATTGTTACGCAGGCCGAAGATGAGGATGGTCAACAAGCTCCAGGAAGGCAGAATCTTCATTGCAGGTGGTGAGACTCGTCCGCCCGATGCCCTGCGATGCGTGTATTCACTGATTTGCCCAGACGCTGCACACATTCACTCCCCAAGCGGCGGGCAAGGACTGAACACAAGTATCCAGGATTCAGTCAGTGTTCTGCACTCTCCTTCGCATCCTCACAGACAGACCGGTCCCCATAGTTCAATCTAGCGTGGAAATTGGCCCTCGTCTACAAAGGTCTCGCCTCCCCACATCTCCTCGGTACCTACCCGGTCGAGCGCCTGCCCGTGATTGCGCAGATGCTCGCTACTACCTCGAACCTATACACCCACCTCATACCAAAGAAAGAAGATTCGCAGGCGACGACCGTACAAGATCAGGACCCCAAGAAGGCGGGCTTCATGCAGTGGCGCAACACCGCGCTCTACCAACTCGACATCAACTACCGCTGGAGCCCGATCACGGTTGATGCGCACGGGAAAGACGGCCTGAGCGAGGACGATTTGAAGGCTCGCGCATACGAGGGCTACCCCGGAGGAGACGTGCGGGCTGGCGACCGCGCGCCCCAAGCCCTGCTCTCGTCGGTGCGGACGGGTTGGAGAAAACGCTCTTTGACCTATTCAAGCCGACCTACCACACCGTACTGGTGTTCTCTCCCCAGGGTGGCGCCGCAGAGATTGTCAAAGCCGCCCAGGAGTACCCAGTCGGCACGGTGCATACGGTCGTCCTCGGCAAGGATGCCGTGCCTCAGCCGATTGACAGTGCGGAGTCCTACCACGACAAGGAAGGCCATGCGTATCGTGCTTACCACGTCGATGGAGGCGAGGTGACGGTTGTTGTCGTACGACCCGATGGCTATGTGGGCGCGGTGGTTCACGATGTAGATGGGCTTAGGACGTACTTGGCAAAGATCTTCCGGGTCTTGTAGGCGTTGCATGTAAATTACTATGCGATATCTGTCGTGATCACAGGTCCTTCTAATGTTACCGCTGCCATGCTCAGGCTGGTCTATCCTCCCGATTACACGTGCGTTCAGAAGCGATTCACCTAGTGCTATACTGACTGCGCTTCGCGCATCTCTGCCGAAGGAAAGGTGTACAAGGTGGGGCAGACGGGCCTACGTGATCAGCGTTGGATTTTCCACATCGTATGCAACGAGGTTGAGATTGCGAGTGGCGACGCAGTCCATGGCGACAGTACGCCGAGCGAGCCAAGACACCAAGTGCTTGAAAGCCCCTACAGAGGACGCTGCGGTAGTGAGCTTTTGAACCCGGCCACGCTCTCCCTAGGCCATCGTAATGCGCCGGAGGAGCTTTAGCTGATGTATCCGCGAGGCTTCGCGAAACGCTAGCAAGCAGTGTTTTCCCCGTGCCTCCTCGCAATGCATACGGCATCAAGCGCCATAGTCATGTTCTATTTTTCTACAGATGCCGTGATGTAACGCTCCGAAGTGTCGACAAAACTTACGCGTAAGCATGGAGGGACTGCCACTGCCACAGCGAGGTACAAATGGCAGTAGTATGATATGCCCAACTGCAGGAAGCATATGCATCAGCCAACATAGCACAGCAGTAATCAGGAACGCACTCCCCTCATCAGGAACATCGATCACAAGTCCTGTAAAGTTTAAAAGGCAATTTTACTGAAAAGTTACCTTCTCAGCCACCGGCAGGTATATGTGCACATTACCGTCGGGCTTGGTCGTGCTAAGGGTGACCGCCACCCTTACGAGCTCGTGCCAAAGACCTTGTGTTCACAGTATGCCCTCTTCAATTCCCGTCGTATACGAGGACCAAACGTGCGCTGGCTCTGGAGGAGACGTAATTCCATTGGAGACCCGTCGCTACATATCAGTGACCCCCCAGTCCATTAGCCGAGCGTCGTCCTATCTAGCCGAGGTTATCTCTACCATAGATGTTGCCCCTCTGGTTTACCCGAGCGCTCCCTATCTCCAAGAAGTATGTAGGCATCATGCTGCCTTGCAGGCACAGAGTCTGTTGGTCCGCTATCTGTGTCTGCTTCAATCCAGCCAACTGCCATTACACGACATAGCACATATGGATTGATGATGGGACCTTAGGGCTCTTTCGTTCGTGCAGAATGATCACAAGGACACGAACGTGCCTTAGATGCGTATATAATTTTGAGTCTCTCTTGTGTTTCTGGTGTGCGATGATCTCCCGAACTTGGCTCCTCGCGCTCTTGCCGCTCAGTTTCGCGGCTGGGGCAGTTAGCAGGACGACTAGCTTGGACGGGATCTATGCCCTCGCGAAGCGACGCGTTCCAGCCCATGCGGAGTCCTTTTCCTTTTCTCTGTCAACCGGTGAAGCCGACTCCTTCGTGGTCAGTGACGTACCTGGGGGCATCCACGTCGAGTGCACTACCGTGTCCGCCTGTGCTCGTGGTTTCTACACGTGAGAGCCTCCTACCGCAATTTTCACGCGACAAGTGTTTGAAAGAAGCCCGGAAGGTACCTGACGCAGTATGGCTGCACTGACATCTGGTGGACCGGCTCGCGGCTGGGTCAGCTCCCTCCAGACCTGCCAAAGGTTGGGACTCCAATCAAGGGTCAAGCCATTGTTCCATATCGGTGAGCTGCGGTCACGAACTGTTCCTATCATGCGAAGACCGTGCCAACGTTCCGGCGCAGGTATCACTTCAACACGGTCACGTTCAGCTACACGACCCCATTCTGGAACTTTGACCAGTGGGAATTGGAGCTAGATTGGCTCGCGCTCAGAGGGGTCAATCTTCCACTCGCCTGGAACGGTTACGAGTACATCCTCATCGAGACTTTCCGCGAAGTAGGACTGAGCGACGCCGACATCTTCTCATTCCTCTCTGGTCCGGCCTTCCAATCATGGAATCGCTTCGGAAACATCCAAGGCAGCTGGGGCGGCGACCTTCCCGTGACTTGGGTTGACGACCAGTTCCAGCTCCAGAAACAGATCCTGCAGCGTATGGTGGAGCTTGGCATGACGCCCGTCCTCCCTTCGTTCACTGGTTTCGTTCCCCGCGCGCTGTCTTCGCTCTACCCCAACGCCTCCATCGTCAACGGCAGTCAGTGGGAGGGCTTCCCCACCGCTCTCACCAACGATTCTTTCCTGGAGCCCTTCGACCCCCTCTTCACGACGATCCAGACGTCGTTCATCTCGAAGCAGCGCGAAGCCTATGGCAACGTCTCTCACATATACGCCCTCGACCAGTACAACGAGAACGACCCCTTCAGCGGCGACCCCGCGTACCTCGCCAACGTCACTGCCGGCACCTTCGCCAGTCTGCGCGCTGCGGACCCGGATGCGGTCTGGCTCATGCAGGGCTGGCTGTTCTTCAGTAGCGCCGCGTTCTGGACGAACGAGCGCATCGAGGCGTACCTCGGCGGCGTGCCCGGGAACGACAGCATGATCATCCTGGACTTGTACTCGGAGGCACAGCCGCAATGGAACCGCACCTCGTCGTACTACGGCAAGCAGTGGGTCTGGTGCGAGCTGCACGGGTATGGCGGCAACATCGGCATGGAGGGCGACCTGGACGCGCTCACGCAGAATCCCATCGCTGCGTTGCACGCTCCAGGTAGCAGCATGAAGGGTGTGGGCTTGACTATGGAGGGCCAAGAGGGCAACGAGCTTGTCTACGACATTCTACTTGACCAAGCGTGGTCGTCCGCTCCGTTGAACCTCAGCTCCTACGTCGACCAATGGGTCGCTCGTCGGTACAACGTGCGCCGCCTCCCCAAGAGTGCCCTTGACGCATGGCGGACGCTTGCTACTACGGTCTACAGCAACAAAGACTCTGGCACACAAGCGGCGATCAAGAGCATCTACGAGCTCGCGCCCGCTCTCACTGGCATGACAAATCGCACCGGGCACCACCCTACAGCCATCCCGTACGACACGAACAGCACCGTCCTCGTCGCGGCGAAGGCCCTTCTCGAAGCACGCTCAGAAAATCCCCTCCTCGCCACCATTCCCGAGTTCGCATACGATGTCGTCGACGTCACGCGGCAGCTGCTCTCCAACCGCTTCATCGACCACTACAACGTCCTCGTCGCGACGTACAATTCCAACGCGACCGCCCCCCGCAACGTCGCCGCGGCCGCCGGGCCGCTCCTCGCACTCCTCGACGACCTCGACGAGCTGCTCGCGACGAACGAGCACTTCCTTCTCAGCAACTGGATCGCGGACGCCAAGCGCTGGACGCATGGCGCGGACAGGGCGGCGTACGCCAGGCTCCTCGAGTACAACGCGCGGAACCAGATCACGCTCTGGGGCCCGGACGGGGAGATCAACGACTACGCGTCCAAGGCGTGGGCCGGGCTCGTCCGCACGTACTACAAGCCGCGCTGGGAGGCGTTCGTCGAGTACCTTGCGCAGACGAAGGAAGCGGGCGCGGCGTACGACGCCCACGTCGTCTCAGCCAAGATGATTGCGATTGGCCAGCAGTGGAGTAATGGGACGTGGGGAACCGGGAAGGGCGAAGGGTGGGGGACTCGGGGAGACACATCCGCAGTTGCTGCAAGGCTGGTGGAGAAGTGGGCCTAGGATCGACAGATGCGCTTTCGATTTTCGCTAGATCCGTTGAGATACCTCCGTAAAATAGGGCTTTGAGGCATCTAATCGCAAATCCATACCATTCACTCATCCATCCTCCAGCCATCAAGTGCTGTGTCCAGTACTGGAGGCTCAAGATATTCTGACTTGAGACCCGCATTTCTCTGCTCGTATGCGGGGAACGCGGCCGAAAGCAGGAGAGGCGCCGACGGACCAATCGGGACGCGACGATTGCAGAACGCCGATGACCTCTACAACAAGGGCTTGTCCTCCTCCTCACCTCCGTCCACATCTCCCGCCATGTCTTCCGCCCTCGTTGCCCGCTCCGCGTTCAACAGGAACGTCGCTGCCGCTCTTGCGCGCAGGTCGCTGCGGCCTCTCGCTGTGCAAGGTGTGTCCACTTCCTCGCGTCACGCAGATTACCGTTGTCGTGCTCGCCTGCAAACCGGTTCGCTCGTATCCGGCATGCCTCGAGCTCGGGCATCAAAGCAGACAAGGCATACTAACTACATCATGCAGCAAGAGGAGCGGCGGACTCTGCGTACGTTCCCGGTGGTCGTACGTATAGTTATGCTCCTGTATGCATGGCATGCGTTGCTCAAGGGTAGATTGCAGCGATCTACAGGGGCACCGTCAACGACCCCACTCCCTTCCCTCCTCCCTCCAAGACTCACGGCTCGTACCACTGGGCGTTCGAGCGCATTCTCTCTGCTGGTCTCGTCCCCCTCACTGTTGCCTCGTTCGTTACGAGCGGCACCAACTACCCCATCATCGACGGCCTCCTCGGCGTCAGCTTGGTGATGCACAGTCACATTGGCGTACGTATCGTCATCCTTGTTGTACTCCTCCAGACCTTGCCTTCCTGCAAACTCTTCCTCCCTTTCGCCGCGCATACAGCCGCGCAGCTCCTAGACCCGTTCTATCACATGTGATTACAAGCGCTCAGGGCTAACCGGTCGGCCCAACAGTTCGACTCCATCCTCGTCGACTACCTCCACCCGCGCAAGTTCCCCGTCCTCGGCCGCGCCTTGACGTGGGTCCTCCGCGCGACGACCGTCGGCGTCCTCGTCGGCGTATACCAGTTCAACACGAACGACATCGGTACGTCATACCCCCTCCCTGCCCACCCGTAGCCGCTTCTGTCGGCTTCGTTCTGCTTCGGTGGGAAGTGGAACTCAAGGCTGACGGGGACCTGTCTACAGGTCTCACGGAGCTCGTCGCGAAGGTGTGGCACGCATAGGTCCGACACGGCGCAATAAGGGGTTGCCGTTCCACAGGACAACTGATGTAAATCCCCGCACTGGGAGTAGTGTGGGCGGTCGTAAGCCATGGATAGCTCAGCCTCAGCCTGTAGTTTCGTTTTCGAATGCATCCTCACGAGGGCTCTTCATCCCGGTCATCTCGTCGACTCCGATAGAGCCGAGCGCAGCTGGTGGGGGTGCGCCTTCTTAATCGCAACTGTCCGGAGAGCGCCATAGCTCCCTCAAGAAAATGTCCTGACCTTACGAACGTCCTCAAGCTTCTACTTGTATGCCTCAGGATCGCAAAGAAGGTTATTGTATTCCGTAGTGTAAGAAGACTACCATGTCAGTGATTACATACTATGATGGTTGGGTGACTGCTTGGACCAAACTACGCCTGTTGATATAAATACTGATGTGACCAGATAGTGAGGGAGGATGAGGGGAATCGAAGCAAAAGTGTCCATGCAGCGTGCATGAATGAGGTGACAGATGATCGAGTGCATAACGAAGAAAAGACGACTCCCGCGTAGATACCGAAGATGCTGCTGCGACAATCGACAATTCTAGTCCATCGAGTCACGAACTTGGAAAAACAGTGCAGGATAAGAGGGCCTATTGCTCCTCCTCGTCCCCCTTCCACCGCCGGCCGAGGTCCACGCGTCCGTCCGCGTCCCCATTCACGTACAACCACGCCTCGAGCCGGCGGCCGAGCTCGCCGCCGACGCCCCCGCAGAAGTCGCCCGTGGCGTTCAGCAGCTTCTCCCGCTCTTTCTCCACCGCGACGACGACCTTCGGCACAGGCACGGGCGCCGGCAGCAGGCTGCCGTTCGCGTTCGCGACCCCGCTCGGCCTGCGCCGCAGCCCGTCGGCGTCGCTGTCGCTGGTCACGAGCGCGAGGAGCGTCGGGCTGATAGCCGCGACGGGCGACTCGGACCTGTACTCGTCCGCCGCGGCGCCGTCGCCGACCTCGTCGTCGTGGCTCGCCGGCTCCACGCCCTCGTCCTGCCACTCCTTGAACCAGTCCTCCTCCTGGTCCTCGGGGCCGAGGATCGACTCCACGAGGCCCTCCTCCCAGCCGTCCCACTCGATGCAGCGGTGCGCCAGGCGGAGGCGCGCGCCCGTCGCCTCCTGGTGCAGCCAGTCTGCGGCGAGTGCGGCGAGGTCGACGGGCTTGTTGTGGACGAGGACGCTCTTCACGGGCGGGTTCCGGACGAACTTCTCGACGGTCGCGCGGAAGAGCTTGGCGGTGAAGGGCGAGTTCTGGAGGAAGGAGGGGACGTGCGCGCACGCCCACAGCGGGCGGGTCGTCGTCGACTCCCAGTCTATGATACACGTCTGTGTGTGCGTCGTGAGCCAAGCGCGTACACGCGGATCCAACTCAAATGCATTGACTCACGATCTGTGAGTTATCGTTCTCGTCAACGAACACGTTCTCGAGGTTCCAATCATGGCAATCGATCGAGAACTCCTCTGGGGCCCCTCCGCCTCCGCCATCGCCCTCCCCGTGCGCGACGACGCCCAAGCGCTCCATTAGCCTCAAGAAGCGCGCCATCTCCGCGCGCACGCGCTGCTCGCGCTCCGCAAGGTGCGCGACGAGGAACGTCGTGCGCTGCATGCGCCGGTAGTCCTGGTACATCATGTCGCCCGGGCCGTCCCACTCGGCCTCGCTCTCCTCCCAGTCCCACTCGTCCGACGTGTCCGAGCGGTCGTCCGGCAGCGCGGTGACCTTGTGGTGGCGCGACGTCTCGATCTCGTCCGGGTCGAGGTGCAGCTTGTGCGGCGCGGCGCGGCCCTCGTTCTCCGCGATCACGCCCTTGACCTCGCGCTCGGTGCACGCAACGAGGTAGTCGTGCGTCGAGCGCCAGGGCCCGCGATTGAGTTCGTCCGGGTGCGGTAGATCGCCTCGGTTCGATCCGAAGAAGGGCCACGAGATGATCGGACCAACGTGCGTCTCCCTCGACTCGTCCTGCAACCGCGACACGGCGTCGTTGATGTTCGTGGAGCGTTGGTATGTCGAGGGTGTTGGAGTGGCTAATGAGGACGGCAAGTTCGGGGATGGTGTACTAGGGTCAGGCCCGTCGTATAGCGAGCCAATCATGGGGAAGCGGTGGCCGTACAGGGGGATCACCAGCATCGCGATGTTCACCATGAGCGCGATAAGGGTATTGTGCGGCATAGAGTGAAAGACTTTTGACAGGGGGATGCCAGAAGCCTGCAGAGCGGAGCGCCGTTTAGTAGGTGGATGCGAACAGTCATAACCATCGAACAAGTATACCTTCGACATCAAGATGTATTCGCCACCTAACCTGTTATATGGGTTCGAATCGTAATGGTAAACTTCCGGCACAGGTATTGCGGTATGTCGGCGGAGATAATGCATCGTTGCTACTTCGCTCTCGGTCTTCAGCCGCGGCATGAAGCGTCGCGCGACACGCGCGACCACTTCGCGCCTGTCGACAAGAGTGACGAGGTACCCCTGTGTCAGCGCAGCAAAGTCAGCTCTGTCATCTCAAGTTCCGGTGCCGCAGACTGCTGCGCATTATTATTCGTCTGCTCCGCCAAGACGTCAACGAGCACGGCCGGCTGCAACAGCACTCGCTTCTGTCACCTTTGAGTAGCACGACGGCTCTACGACGCGGCTTCGCGCCAAGCACCGTGGCGCATCCTCCAAGTGGCCAAGGAGCGCGAAACATCGCCGAGACGTCGAAATGCTCAATAGAAGCATCGGCAAATCGGGCGCGTCTGCGATGCTATAGCAGCTTACCCCGTTGGTAAGCGCACCCGGCGGATAGCAAGGCACTGCGCCTGTCGTACTCGGTAGTTACGCCACCGAGAACAGAAGCCCGCGCAACATTTTGACACGGGTGCACTCTTCTACTCGGACGAAGCCGAACGCGGCGATTTGCCACCCTTGTGCGTTTCCGGAATGCGCGCAAGTGACTGGAGAGCGTGGGAGGGCAAGAGCGGTAAACGGTGTGCTCACCTTGTGGAATGTACCTGCAGCGAAACGGTGAGATTGACATCTAGCAGAGATGGAATTGAGTAAGACGGACCTGCACCGAGGAATCGGATACGTGCGACTTCAGCCCCCATACGCTCGTGGACAATGTCCTTGAGCAGCTTCCTATCGACCTGGAAGGGCATGGCATGGTGGACGGCGACGTCGGCCCTAGCCTCCGCCTTCCTGTCCTCATGCTCGATGTCCCAATCCCATTCCAGCGGAGGCTCCTCAGAAGGTTTTGCAGGCTGCGCAGGCAAAGGTTGTTGCGTTGCTGACTGCGTCATGTCGGGAGTCGCGTTCCCTGGGGTCGAGTGAACGCGCGAAGGGGAAGCTACTGAATCGGTGCGGAGCTGTGTTGGAGGCGTTATCTGTGGCGACGAGAGCTTTTCGCGGGCTTCGAAGGACAGGGAACCGGGGCGGACGTTATAGTCGAGCGAGCAGAGGAGCTGATATATGCTGAAGGGGATGATGGTTAGGAAGAGAGCGCGATTGTAACGCCGGGACTTATCGCAGACGCACTCGAGATTATTGCGCGCCCGCTTATGGGCGACCCTGCTACAGCGGTCGCCGTCGTTGATCTCCGTCGTTCCTGAGCGTGACTCGAGCAGTAAAGCGGGCATATCGTTCGGGCAGATGTTGCAGCAGTCGCAGGGGGTATCAGGCGCAGCAAACATATGCGGATGGCATTATATGTGGGGCTGGATAGGTCGGACTTGGTGTGAGGCCAGGCTGAAGCCGATCGAGGGCCGCGCTACCGCCGCACCCGGACGGGTCCCCCGGTGGACGCGATCGCGTCTTTCGTCATCCCCCGCATTAGACATATCACCTGCCTCTTCCGTAATAGATCCAGATCAGATCCGTCGGCACCCCCACTCATCTCCTCTGACGCATCCTCCCGCCTAACTCGGATATGTATGTATGTACCCCTGTGCTGCCGCCACCCGCGCAGACGTACTCAGTTTTTCAGCCCCAGGCTCGCCTGCAGATACCGGCGGATACCAGCGATCCTTTCTCTCATCTACGTGCACGTTCGTGCGAGAAGCACCAGCAGCTACCCCTGAACTGGGCACGAAGTCTCACCCCGTCCAGACTTGTCCGGTGATCCGCGTGGACGTCCGGGGCAGCTCCTGTGACAATCGACACCTTCCTCGAGCTCTCCCATCACCATTTCGATGCCCCAGACCCAGACCCAGCGCCAAGCTTGCCCTCCACTTCGCGATAAGCACCATGAGTATGGTTTAGCGAGAGCACGCAGGCTGCGGGCTATTTTCAGACAGCGCCGAAGCCATGCCTCGAACCTACTGATGTCTGTTTGTCCTTCCCCGCACTCGTCCTAACATTCCAACAAGGACGTTCCGGGAGGCACAGGCCCGATCCCGACCATCAACGGCTTTCATGCAATCATATGTTCGTCTTCGACTGTGATTCCGGACACGGCTTGAATGGCGACCGCGTCCACTCAACCTAGGTCCTTGATATCGGGCCCGGGATCCGACTCGGGCTCGGGGACACGGGTCAAACTCTGCATCGATTCGTCACCGACGCTTAGTCCCACCAGCTCGTCTGCGCGGGGGTCATCGCGACCCACGGGCCTCACTATCATAAGAAGCCAGAGCGTCGGAACGCCAATCCACGCACAGACACCCCTACTTGCCGCTCGCTTGGAGGCAACCTACTCCAGAGGTACGGACCTGAAGGTGGATCGTCTAGTTTAGGGTGCGGTCAACAATGAAAATGGTTTATAACGAACCGTTATTAACGGACGCCCTCTTGGACCTCTTGTTAACACGTGTTACTTACGGTCAATTGACCGGGCGCTAAACCAAGTTCACAAGTTGTTGGCCTGAGTAATAAACATCTCAGTTGAATGACAGGGTCCCTGAAACTCAGAGACACCTTGCCATTGCAAGTACTGTATATTTGACGAGGCATGACATCAATGAGCTGTGTGGCGACGAGTCCCGCTCTCCCTTCGAGATCTGAATCAGACCAAGCTCACTGGCGGCTTTGGCCAGCGGCCTGCATAAATTAGAGGCACCAAACTTGAAGTTCACAGCAGCACTATTCCGGCCTACAGTAAACGAAATGAAAGCGGTCTATTGTTGTTATTAGAGTCAAAAGGACGCTCAAATGGGTCCTAGTTTTGAACAATTCTTGACATGACTATCCAGACTCGTACTTTCTAACTGTTTATTAACAGGTTGATTAACTTGTTAATAATCCACGTGTTAACAATTCGGATTTGTTGCCCGCACCCTAGTCTAGTTGAACCCTGCACGGCCTATCGCGAAATGAACACCAGAAGTCTCCAACTCACCAACATACCGCAGTCGCATGTCCTTATCAGCGCTCCGCCTACTAGTCAGCCGGTCCTCAGCTTATGCGGTGATCTCCCAGAATGAGTAGCACTTGCGTATCAGGATACACAGCTGAACAATGGAGAATGGCAGTCTCCGAGCTTCTTTGAGCTTCGATCCGTGGCCAGGAAGTGTTCTATTACGAACCTAAGGCGAACGTTAACCTAGATAAGTTAGCGTTAGCGCGGCCAATGGAGGTGATGGGATGTGCTGCAGACCTTCTACTCCCTTCTCCATTCACAAAGCACCGTAGGGCTGGCACCAGGTTCCACCCTCGGCATGCGTATTGTCAAGCGTAAGAAATACTACGTTTCGGAAGGCTCATCGTGCACAGGCAAGGCGCCCGTGAAATTTGAAAGCCGTACCTCGGCATTAGGCCCATGTCAAACGACCCAACGAGTCCCTTCGGACAACAGTACCCTACAGGACGAGCACGCCCGCTCGAGGTCCCGGTCTAGGATGAAGTGGTGGCGGACAGTCACGGTCGGTATGGATGTTTCAGTCAATGGGTATTGACTGGGGTCTAAGTCGCGTGGGGAGCACGTGCGCCGACAACGCGCTTTTCTCTTCCCCGTCGCACAAAGCCTTTGTCGCGCTCAACGCGTTTTTGCAGCGCGGGGCAAGGTCTTTGTTTTCTATGATTGCTTATATGTACAGGTCTCTGATGCTTCTCCCTCCTTACCTCCTTCCTCACCGGCGTGCTCGAAAGGTACGATACACGTACCGTAGTTCCCGCACCTCCTTCCTCACCGGCGTGCTCGAAAGTCCCCGACTTCGGGCTTCGCATTTTCTTACCCACCCATCCGCTATCCCTACACTTATTATACCACACGTTACGCTAGTTGCTAGATAGTTACTGTCCCAGTTAGTGTATTCGCCTCCGCCGGCTTGAGCTCGGCCCCTCCCGGTCGCGCGAGAGAGCGGTGGCGACGCGAGTCGGATGACTCGTCCGGCGCTGCGCCTTGACAATGTCATCCCCCTTTCGCCCTGCCCGACTCACGCGTGATTAGAGTCCGGCATCTGGCCGTACTCGCGACACAGCGTAGGAGGCGCGTCGCGACGCGTCACCTGCCAACATTTCCCCGTGTTATCGCGCGAACTCACCTCATGCGCATCTCGGTCTGCATTTTGTTACGCAGACGACTGTCAGCATTTGTAAGCCCATCTTTGTCGAGCGCAGTACTAGCGCGCAGAGATTGGGAAGCGACGTCTTTGAGGCAGTGTCCCAGCGCATGCTGGTACAATGCGGCGTCGTGCCCTGAGGGCATTACGATGGTCATGCCGTGATACCTTCACGTCCGCCTGTATGATGCAGGGCATGCAAACAGGAAACACTGATTCACGTGATATCTGGAGGCATGGATCAGAAGGTGTCCGGAACGAACAGCAGTGCGACGACGTACCAATCTCTTGTTCGACTTCCACCAGCTGTGATGCTGAGCCGACGGACCGAAGATAGCTATGCTAGCCGAAAGAACGACGAGGCAAGGGGAAAACACGCGACAGATTGCAATGATGTATAACATGACACACTAAGCAGCCAATACAGAGCGAGCAGACGAGATCATTATGTCCATGAGGGTTGTAGTCTATACCGGCAAAGAGACGAGGGAGAACCTAGAAGTACATGAACGTGGGGAGAACGAGATGCAAACAGATACAGGACACACATCGCAAGAATTGAGCAGACCATTAACGCATCCCGGCATCAACGGTTCTCCGATCACTGTGCGCGAAGGGAGAGGCGATGCGAGAGGGGGCAAGAGGAAGGATGACGGCACTCCGTTTTACTTCTTCCCCGCCTCGATGGCGTCTCCGTTCTTGCAAGCGACGATTTTGATTTTCGGCGCGGACACCTGCTCGTTCGACTCCATCTTGAACGTCGGGTTCTTCACTATGAACGTCCATACGTCGTCGCAGAGACGGTACGTGTGCAAGTGACCCTGCACGCCACAACAGCATTGTACAAAGGGAGAATAAAGACGATGTCCGTGAACCAACGGGCTCCACACGGAGTGAGGCACATACCTTCAGCGTCGTCTTCGTCTTCACCTGCTTTACCATAATGTCCGCCAAGGACTTGTCGAACTACAGAAACGCAGTGGTTTAGCATCGTCAGTCGGGCCGGTCCGCACCCCCCAGGATGGACTAGAACCACACACCTGCTGCAAGACTTTCATGGCCAGCTGTGGGGTGATTGCACCGCTTGTGATAAGCTCGTCAAGCGAGTCCGTGAGAGCCATGCCGATCCTAAGTGGGTCATAGCCCGGACACCAGTTATGTCCGCCGAGCACCTCCTTGCCAAGCTATGATACTCACGAGGAGCCGCGATAGAACTCGTAGTATGCCGATGCCATGCTTTCAAAAACACGTAAACAGAGATACAAGGGTTGCAAGGTGATCAACAGCCTAGACAAGCAGCCGGACGTGGTAGAAAGTAGTGAAGGACGAGCTGCAGCGTCCCTGCAGGCTGAGGGAGGCGCGACGTTACGTAAGGCACGTGGGTTCACGGAGTGTCACCCCAGTGACGGAGCGTCGAGTCACAGCCTCGATTTGGGATCGGCCGTCCGACGAGTCGCTCGAGCATCCTTTCTCTTGCATATTGACCGCAAGATCGATTCTGCTGTAGGAACAAGCAGGTCCGGTATCGTAAGTCACTTCACCACTCCCAGCCTCCGATACTGCGGGCATCAGCACTCGCCAAGTGCTTGCTTCGCTATCCTAACTAAATTGCATGTGCCGCTACTCAGCAGTGTTCACTACTACAAATTCGATATCCGCTGTGTCTCAACATGCCGCATCCTGCAAGTGGCACGTATAGGACGACAGATATCAATCTGGCTACGCTGGCTAACACACTTGGCATAGACGTCCAGAGTGCTGGCAGCTGCAATATGCAATTGGCAATACTGCTTGTTTCCCCTCTTGAACGTCGCGATACCTGCTGAGATCATGGATGATATACTCAGTAACCTGGATGACGACAACGCGTCCCTACGTGCATGCACTTTTGTATGCCGCGCTTGGTGCTCGTTTGCCCAGTATCATCTGCTTCGGACCGTGGTCTGCCGTCCAGATGCTCCGCACTTGTCCCTCCGAGAACTCCTCTCTTTTTCCACGTCAGCTCCAGATCTCGCCGCGCACGTCCTCTCGCTCAAAATCATCGGAGGAAAGTCTGGCAGCACCCCCGAGATCGCCGTGGAAGATGTCACCCACCTGCTGTCCGTGCTCCACAATGTCGGGTGCCTCTCTCTTGAACGCGTTGCTCCGATCACTCGTGGCCGCGCGCAGGCTCTTCCGACAAAGGCCCTACCCTTGTTGACCGAACTCTCCACCATAAGCTTGTGTGCCCTTCATCATACAGACACTATAGACTCGTTCTTTCAGATCCTGAAGAACCGTCGAGGAACAAGCCCTCTCCGTGTCATCCTTCGATTTGTGCATTCTGACGACTGACTCTGCTTACTAGCATTTCTCGACGTGTTCGGGCCGGACATCACCTACTTATCGATCAACCTCTTGTGGGCCTTCGCCGACGTTGGTGTTCTAGTCGGCAGCGATGTGCCGGTAGACATCCGGTCGACGTCGACTATCGTCGACTTGTCAACAGATGACGATGTCATCTTGTGCACAAAAGTCGACGTTAACTTTCCCGCAGAACCATCACCTGACTCTGACGCCCATGGACGTGATATGATTGGAGGATGCCCTATCGCGCACGCATCCAATTGACAAATTGGGACGTCTCTCTCATATTGCAGCAAGTCTCGCACTCGTTTCATCGATATGTCTTAGCTTGCTTGCTCCTTCATGTACCTGTGTAGATATTGTAGCCAATGTTCATCTTTTGCCTCTCTCCATAATGCCTGCATATACTGAGGCTCGTCAGACCACTAACTCAGCATTCCTCAGCCGGCGAGGCTGGTACCGGACGCACTTCTATGACCACC